AAAGTTGAGCCACTTATCTCGCCAGAATAAAGAAATCTGTGCCGCTTACTTTACCTCTTCACCAGAATTAAGAAATCCTAGCAAGTTACCTCACTAGAATAATGAAATCTCAGCCACTTTCCTCACCAGAATCATGAAATCTCAGTCACTAGCGTCACAAGAATTACAAAATCTCAGTCCTGAACATTACCAAAATAAAGAGAGTGAGCCGCTTACTGCACCAGAATTAAGAAATCTCAGTAACTTACTTCACCAGAATAAAGAAAGTTGAGCCACTTATCTCACCAGAATTAAGAAATCCCAACCACTTACCTCACCAGAGTAAAGAAATCTGTGCCGCTTACTTTACCTCTCCACCAGAATTAAGAAATCCTAGCAAGTTACCTCACTAGAATAATGAAATCTCGGTCACATACCTCACCAGAATCAAGTAACCTGTGCCGCTTACTTCACCAGCATTAAGAAATCACCGTCGCTTATCTCTCCAGAATAAAGAAATCTGTGCCGCTTACTTCACCAGAATTAAGAATTCTCGGCTACTTACCTCACCAGAATTAAAAAATTGTAGCCACCTACCTCACCAGAATATAGAAATCTCGGTCACATACCTCACCAGAATGAAGAAATCTGTGCCGCTTACTTCACCAGAATTAAGAAATCTCGACTGCTTATCACTTCAGAATTAAAAAAACCTCACCCGTTTACCTCACCAGAATAAAGAAATCTGTGCCGCTTACTTTACCTCTCCACCAGAATTAAGAAATCCTAACAAATTACCTCATTAGAATAATGAAATCTCAGCCACTTTCCTCACCAGAATTATGAAATCTAAGCTACTTACCACACCAGAATCATGAAATCTCAGCCACGTACTTTATCAGAATAAAGAAAGCTGAGCCGCTTACTGCACCAGAATTAAGAAATCTCAGTAACTTACTTCACCAGAATTAAGAAATCTCTATCACTTACCTCAACAGAATCATGAGATTGCAGTCATTTACCTTCCCTTAATGACAAATTATCGGTCACATACCTCACCAAAATAAAGAAATCTGTGCTTCCCCAGAATGATGAAATCTCAGTCACTTTCTTCACCAAAATTAAGATATATCAGCCACATACCTCACCAGAATTAAAAAATCTCTACCACTTATCTCACTAGAATAATGAAATCTCAGCTACTTACCACACAAGGATTATGAAATCTCAGCCGCTTACTGCACCAGAATTAAGAAATCTCAGTCACTTACTTCACCAGAATAAAGAACGTTGAGCAACTTACCTCACCAGAATTAAGAATTTTCGGCCGCTAACCTCACCAGAATTAAGAAATCTCAGCCGCTTACTTCACGACAATCATGAAATCCCAGCCACTTATCTCACCAGAATTAAGAAATCTCAGCCATTTACCTCACCAGAATTATGACATCTCAGCCACTTACCTCACCAGAATTAAGAAATCTCAGCCACTTACCTCTCCATAATAACGAAATCTAAGCAATTTACCTCACCAGAATCATGAAATCTAAGCCGCTTAGCTCATCACAATTACGAAATCCCTGCCGTTTACCTCACCAGAATTATGACATCTCAGCCACTTACCTCACCAGAATTAAGAAATCTCAGCCACTTACCTCTCCATAATAACGAAATCTAAGCAATTTACCTCACCAGAATCATGAAATTTTAGACGCTTAGCTCAACACAATTACGAAATCCCTGCCGTTTACCTCACTAGAATCATGAAATCTCAGCCACATACCTCACCAGAATTAAGAAAGCTGAGCCACTTACCTCACCAGAATTAAGAAATCTCAGCCACTTACCTCTCCATAATAACGAAATCTAAGCAATTTACCTCACCAGAATCATGAAATCTAAGCCGCTTAGCTCATCACAATTACGAAATCCCTGCCGTTTACCTCACCAGAATTATGACATCTCAGCCACTTACCTCACCAGAATTAAGAAATCTCAGCCACTTACCTCTCCATAATAACGAAATCTAAGCAATTTACCTCACCAGAATCATGAAATCTAAGCCGCTTAGCTCATCACAATTACGAAATCCCTGCCGTTTACCTCACTAGAATCATGAAATCTCAGCCACATACCTCACCAGAATTAAGAAAGCTGAGCCATTTACCTCACCAGAATTAGGAGATCTCAGTCAAATACCTCATAAGAATTAAGAAATCTCAGCAATTTATCTCACCACAATCATTATATCTCAGTCACATACCTCATCAGAATAAAATAATCTCAGTCACTCACCGCACCAGAATTTAGAAAGCCATTTACCTCGACAGAATCGGGAGCTCTGATCCGCTTACTTCACTGAATCACACTAGAATCAGGAATTTCTGATGAAGCAGAAAACGATAAACCTTCTAAAACATGGTCTTCTTCTCTATGTATTTCTATGTGTTGGTAAATTATTGTACTCAATTTGTGAAGTGTGCATCACGATTTCGTTAAACTCGTTGGTATTGTTGTTTATTGGTTTTAAATTCCAGAAATTTGTCATGTCAACTACTCATAACATTATTAAACAAACAAAAACAAAACAACACACAAATTGAAACTGAAATAAAAAAAGAGAAAGTAAATAATAACAGAGAATGAACATTTATGACATGTGTCAATTGAGATTAAAATGTCAAGGTATGAGTGATTTTGCTTATACAAGTTATATCTCGGAACATTTGCATCAGGTTGGTGATGCAAATAGAATAACATTTCTGATAATATAACCAGCAGAAAATCCCAAGTTTGACGTTTCGATGACACTGTGACCTTTATCGGATAAATGACACGCGTGAAGCACAGTAACTATCATCATACTATTTTCTACCTTAGTGTTCAACGTACATAAGATTACACTAGAGCTGAAACAGTTGATCGATTCCGCATCATCTCACATTTAATAACACAGAAAATAAATTGATCGTGAAACACTGCACCAATCCCATCTTTTATAAGACTGTATCTAATTTGGAACGTTTCAGTATTTATAAAAAATGTGTGAAATGTAAATAAAATAGATATTAATGATACCTAAACTATGTCTATGGGTTTTATAAGTAAACTTCTAATACACATACTCATCTCATTTGCGGCGATCTAAATGTCGTATACTTTTAAGTATGTTCTTTGTCAGCTGATGAAATCTACATCAATGTGCGTACATCTGAACTTAGAGTGTAATAACTTTTGACTAGTGTTAAATTTTGTAGGCGCTGCATGCATTGTTCTCGTTATCTCTCACATGTGGGTTAGATTATCCTGCCCTGCTCTACCACCAACATCAGCCACAGATACTTTAATACTAAATGTATCTATAAATAAAACCTTCGGAGAAGATGACTGGCCATACATGCGCGTATGTATTCTGTTGGTGTGTGTTTAGACATAAGGATACATTTGAGCATGTCTGAGGATCAAGATCAGCCCAAGGCATATGTTTGCAATTACAGGTGAGAATAACTACAGTTAATTACAAAATAAATTCATGCCAGTTATAATGTCGATTTAAATGTATTATGAAATCTTCGATTACATTTTTTCATGATAGAGACAAAAATAATGTTTCATTCAGTCGATAATATTACGTACGCTATATTTGTAATTTGAGGTATTAAGCTATAGTGTTAAGTTTGAATACAGAGAAAAAAATTCAATTTTAACAGGGTCAATGATTTGTATTACATATGCGTATTTATTTTTGTTCATCTAACAATGTTTACATTTAAGATTCACCACAGCTGTTGAAAAAAAAATCACAATTACGTTTAGTGTAACAGGATACGATTAACTGCAACATTTTGGCAGTCATTCCTACTAATAAATACGATGCCAAGACAATTCAACTGTAACTAATTACATTTCCGTGGACTTTGTATTCTTTTACTGTAATATCTTTACAATATACAAATTGACCAATTAACCATGATTCGACGATAACCCTTTGACGGATGTACTTTATTATCTTAATGTTTACCATGTCACAAAAAGGAATAAGAATTTGCAAGGATAGGGTGTGCGTATATGTTTTACAGTAAATGTTATTTTGATGTTTTCTGAAATACCGTTAAGAGGAGGATATGTGTTTAAATAGACTATGTAGGTATTGTCAATAAATCCTGTAATATCTGTTGTATAAATAAATACCGTATCGCCGGCTTTTTGTGCGGGAATCATTTTCGCTATTTCGCTATACATTAACATGATTGCGAAAATTCCTGAAACACATATTTGTTAGATGTGATTATATGTCAAAATTGCAAAATTTTTAATCAATTGAAATATAATTCGACCGTGGTTAAAGGAAATCGCGAAAATCTTCACCCGTAAAAATAATAATCTATACGGTATACACAGAGAAATTATAAAATCAATACATGATAACATTTCTTATCAATGATATAGAGGTCCGATTCAATTTATTTACAACATCTGTTCATAAAAATATAGTTGAGAATCAAAAATGAAATAGTTTTGTGTGAGGAAACATATTTCTAACGTACTTAAGAATGAAAAAGTAGGGATTATATTGTGTCATCGTACATAAACAGACGTTTACTACGGAAATTTCTCAACCATTTAAAGCAAAATCACATATGTAGTGGCTCTAAATTCATGATTTCTCAAACAGTCAGTGTATCCTGGAAACAAGGGCTTTAGTTTATCACGAATTAAAGGAAAATAAAACCCGCTTAAAATGTTTATTTAACTGTGAATAAAACAATCAGTATTTTTTCCGTGTAACTGGCTGGTAGATAAGGTAAATCTTAAGTTCGAGTTTAAGTTTTATTGAAGATACAGAGCTTTGCTCAAAATAACAAATTTTGTTTCATAAATATGAAATGAAACGGAACTCAAGAATAACCTGAATTATGTACTCATGTTTTGTATTATGGCTAAATACGTGATACCGTTGATCTTTTTCAGGTTTTAGATGAAACATGCCGATACAACAAAACCAGAATCCAGTACATTGCTTCTGCTCTATGTAAATGGTGGTCTAGTTGAGGGCAAGTTACTGTAAATGTGCGACAGAGTCGGAAATGTAAGCTACATATGTTTTGAATTAACTTTATTTCACCTCTAACATAACCATGTTGAACATACATACCCTCTTAAATTTGAAATACAACATCCTCTTCAACATCAGCCGCTTACTTCTGCTTATTTCTACAACGAAATCAACAGGGACAGTTTTTTTTATGATTTTGTATTCGATAAGCGTGATGATTTTTAACTCCCCTATTGTTAAATATTCATTTCTGGAGAGTAACATTCCCGTATCCTCAGTCTATAAAGCTTGTGAAGTTTTACAGTCGCCATGATGATCTCATTTGGAACCTTGTGTGATATGAAAGAAAATTTGAACGTGTTTGAAGCTCATTAGCATGCGTTTTGATTCCGTTGTCGTTTAACACTTCTCTTTTGAGAACGTGACATTATCTACTTGGAATGAAAGAAATTTACATTGAGGGTGTCGCCGATGAAGACGATGCTTACTCTTCCGGAGCATCTTGTATTATTCTACTTATTTGTCATGAGTCTTCCTGAATCATTTTCTTTTATATTTTGCCCTAGTTTTATTTGATTTGATTTCGGATTACGATTCCGTTTACATGTTAGTATTGTCTTTGTCGTTCAAGATAAATCATTTCCAATTATGAATGTCACTGTTGCTATTATGTGCCATTAAAGGAATCATATCTAGGTCACTTTTAATTGGCGCATGCTTGTATTTGTAATGTTTTCCAGTCAGAAACGAATATCAAAGATGTATAGCAGCTTGTCTGCAAAACCAATCTGATAAGGCGATGGTATAAAAGTCATGCCAGCGAATCACATATTTTGGTATGAATACAAAATTAGATACAGCAAAGCCGAAACAATGAATTCAACTGCATCGTACAGTTGTTTCGTCCTTCTAGGATCAGTGACTCTAAGGGCCTGATTTCTGAAACCAAGGAGGTTAAAAAAATCCAAGTGGTCGAAAGAAAAGTAAAAATCTAGGTGAGGAGATACATTAGGACTATAATTAAATAAGTCGAACATTCAGAGTAAAAACTCTGCCCAGACATTGGCGTACAGAATGTATGTGCATCTGAGGCATATAAAGTCATAATATTTACATCCAAATCCTTCAAATCCAAAAAGTTCTTGTTGAGATGTTTTTAGCGAAATTGGAATATTGTGCCTTTTATGCAATTTTTAAATCAAAATCCTTAATTTTCTTGTGCTTTTTGGGGGATTCTCTATTTAATTTTTTCTTTTGTTCGTATTTCGCCCTGGTTTTATTGCAAAGGGGTTTTAATTATGATTTTGATAGATTGTTGGTATTTTCTGTATTTTTCTGTTTTTATGTATACAACACATTGAATATAAGACACGGTTTATTTACTTCAATAAATAGAAGATACAGGTTTATTGATGTAAGAAACTACAGGCTTTCCGGATATTTTTTACTTGTTTTCAAGTTTACCATGTATCACATGAGGTAAACAGTATATGAGAATAAACCTACTATAAAGATAGCGATCAGTGTGCGTGAATTGAAATAAATTTACGATAACATTCTTATCAGAATGATGACCTTCGAACTTTATACACACGTGTTCCACAAAGAATGAATTTAGTACTACATACAGACATCCGAGCAGGGCAACTGTAATATATATTTGAGGACAAGAGACAGATATCAGCATGCCTTCTATCAAGAGGCGTAATACTCGTCCATCTTCAAGTGCTCGAGGCATAACATCGTATGTATGTCATTATAGCTGCCCCTGCTAACATAAGGGTATGCAAGCTATAAGTAGAGATTGATCAGTACATGTGTAACATGTGGCCACTTCGGTAGAAATTAGATTTGCCATGATGTGCATGGTAGATGTCGTCAATATAGTGACAGACACATTCGATAGCACCTTATTGTCCTTGTGATTTTTCAATAGTTTTCGTGTGAACATCTTTATTTTATTGTTGTTCTAATTTCTTAATTCTGAGATTGAAGATATACAAAAGACACACAAGTAAATTGCACCTTATATATATAGTATATAGCATCACTGACGAGTCCTAGAAGGACGAAACAGCTATATGATGCAATTTGATTCATTGTTTTGCAATAGTGTATTTCATTATTCTAAACTATTAAAAGGTGCTATTCATTTGTGCGTCTTTTGTACATTTTCATTTTAGCTTTATATTTCATAATTCCAGGAGCATGTTTAATGTATAGTTGTGAATGCTATTTTTCGATATCTAAATTGTAATCTGTTTTTATAAATTTCTTAAAAACTTTCCCATTTGATTTTCGTGTTATTACAATTTGCATTATCACAATGACCAAATAATATAAGACAAAAACATGGTCAATATATATATATATATATATATATATAACAAAAAAAAAACTCCGAGAGACATTTGATCTTAAATAAACTTTATAATTTATTTACTGAATTTAATTTGGATTAAGATTATGTTCACATTTTTACATTTTCTTTTGCACTCTTTGTCTTAACATTTGTCTCATTGAATATTTGTTTGATTATTCTATCTTTTGATAGGAATCACAAAGAAGATGGTGGATATTTAACCCTTTTGACGAGTCGACCTTTATTGGTCATAGGACTATGTCTGGTATTTGTTATCGTATATACCATAGCACTGACGCTGGGGATGGTCATGGCTATACGTGGCAACAATCGCAGTTACGTCTCTGGACAACCGGACGTTGGTCAAGGTGCTGTTGTTTCGGACCACGAGACTTGCTCAGAGATAGGCAGGTAAACGCATCATTTCAAATGATTCTATAGGTATTCAAATAGAGCGAGTCATCAGAGAATTGCAAAAAGCAAATATAAGAAAGATAGTATGATAAGCGTTTTGATTTCAATTTCCCTATTGTGAATTTTCCATTTCTAGATAGCAATTATCCCTGCATCACCAACCTATGGTGTTTACATGTCACAGTTGATTCGGTATTCAAGGGCCTGCATCCAGTGTCACGCTTTTCGTGCAAGACGTTTACTACTGACGGACAATTAAACTCTTAACATGGGATTTCAAAAGATGCAGGTTGATGAAAATAAAAGGGAAACTTTACGGTCGTCAAGGTGATCTCAATGAGTAATTTGAGAACATGATATTACTTACTTGGTTTTAACAAGGTTTACATGGCTGTCGTCGATGAAGCAGAAGACACATACTTTTCCGGAATACCTGGTATTCTTTTTTTGTACCTTTTCGGGAGTCTCCGTTCATATGTTACCTTAGCATGGATTTAGAGCATGGATTTAGATGATGTTGTCATGTGGGTATTTTCCTGCTGTTTTTTTAACTCCTTAATAACCATCGCTCAGGCACTATCAAAAATTTGATTTAAAACACGTAATTTGGAATATGAAAATATCGATGTTACTGTAATGATTTGAGAGGTTGCAAATAGATGTTAATTTTCTGTGTTTTCAATCTTCTTTTTTTTTTTTTAAATTGGATGATCAGAATGTTTCGAATTGACTAGTAAATCTTAAAAAAGGAATTGATACAACCGAGGAGGAGATGCCATCGGTTTTTATGAGATCGAAATGTCGTCTTACCCTTTTGCTTCAAATTAAAAATAAAACTTGGTAAATGGCAATGTGTACAATACTGTACACAGCAAACTATTCCATCAATATTATATATCATTTTTTGTCCAAGAAGATTTTTTTTTTCATTTTCATCTGGTGTTTTATTTAACCTAAATACATAAAATGCTATTTCACAGCTTTCTTATCAAGCTTTCCTGTTGTATTCGCCCTCTTGACAAAGAGCAACGTGGGTGAAAGTGTTACACCGAATACTTATGTTTTATGATTGAAAAAAAAAGATAACATTCCATGTGTTTAGTGAAAGTGATCGTTCAATGGGAGATAACTCTCTTATCTGTATAGTTGATATGTCTGTAAAGTCGCAATGACATTTTACTCGTGGATTTTTAGATGTCGTCTAAATCTAATGGAAAGAAGAAAATAACAATGCATTTGAATCCAATCTTAATATTGGCATCCATCCATTCATCCATCAACCTATTTATTCATAATTTGAAGTTTTAAGGATTTAACAATTACAGTATTCTAGCATTCAGTGCAAATTTGAAATAAAAAAAAAATGAAATGACAAGAGGGGTACACCTGGATAACCTTCCACTATCCAGAACGAAAAATGCAAAATGGTTGTAGTAGTTATTTATATCTGCATATCCTAGATTTATTTCTCTTTGTAGAGACATGTTTAAGAAAGGCGGATCTGCTGTGGACGCCACTATAGCGACTTTACTTTGTTCTGGTCTCCTATCACCTCACAGTATGGGCATTGGAGGAGGTAGTAATCGCATCACTGCGGTAAAAATACATTGACGCGGTATAGATGCAAAATAAAGCACATTATAACGGAGCAATACGTCATATTGCAATGTAGTAAAAAAATGTTGCTTTTTTACATGTGATTTTGTATTAAATGCAGTAGGGTTGTTTAGCACAAAATGTTATATAAACAGGTTCTGTGACATTGCAAGGCCATATTCAAAATTTCTTAATTGATCTTTTTTGAGTAAGAAGATTTTTTGTTACATGAATTGACATATTTATATCAATATTTATTATATATTATATTAATTATCAGCACGAGATGAAAATTTCTGGTCGATAATGCAGAAAATACCAATACCAAAGTACTATGATATAGACACAACATGATAGTTAGATATTGGTTTCATCTTGATTCTATATCACAATACATCAGAGTCAGAGCTTCCTGCAGGTAACTTCATGGTGATATATGACGCTGAGACCAAGCTTGCCCATACAATTAACGCTAGAGAAACAGCGCCTAATGGCCTTACGTTGGAGCTGAACACGAAGACGGGATCAAGGAGAAGTGAGTATATGAGATGGTTGAATAAGCACTGTCTCAAAACAGTTTCGTCAAGTGAGTATTTAAGAGAAAAAAGAATATTGATTTGCTTTATAATGGATAAAAATGAAGCTGTATCTTAATGGAGAAATACTTTGTATATAACGATTATTTTTCTGGTTTGTATAGATTACTGGGGGACAACTTGTAAAGTAGAAAGATAATCTTTAACGAAATGCTTTGTATATGTAGACAGAAACCAATCCAAAACTGAAAATACATCTAATAGGTTGGTTAGTTGTGTTTAAGTTACACAGTTTTGCAACTGTTAGAGCCCAAGAAAAAGATGCTGAACATAAGGCACTATTACCCTTTAGTATTTGTGTAACTGACGTCGTCATTTCTCCCAACACTATTAAGATGCAATATCATTAGACCAGCATTACATTATCAATTGAATTGAGTTCAGTTATCAAAAAGACAAACACAAAATTAAGAATAGCAAAATTCCGCACTATTGACAAATGTGAGCATTTAATGTTTACCCATTCAAGTGCAGCTACTAATCACAACATACTGCACCATCGCCAAGATAGCTAAAACTTTTAGAATAGAAACATATCAGATTTATATTTATTTCAACTGAATGAATATACAAGTATAAAAAATTGTTTTGATAACATCAGGGTCCATGTATGATAAATATATATATAATAATAATATTGCTATTATACCTTATTATAGAGTAATTACAACTACAAAACATCCTCTCTTAATTGTTTTATGCATAATTAATGTTCTCAATATCACCTTTTTCGTGCAAGCCTCGTCCACCGGCGGACAAACTAGTAAAAAAAATTTTAAAAGATGCAGATTGATGAAAATATTGACGTTTTATGGTCGCCATAGTGATTTTATTGATACATATACCTTGCACGTTAGTGTGCTTGTAGATTAAGTTGCTGTATAATTTGAGAACGTGACGTTGATTACTTTGATTGACCAAGATATACAAAGCGGTTGTCGTCGATGAATCTAAAGACGCTGACTTTTCCGTAACATCTGGTCTATTATCTCAGTACCTTTCGGTGTCTTTGTGTGCTCTTTTTTGTATTTTGTAAACTTTATGGAATTTAAGTTTGGATTATGATTCTGTAGACATGTTGTTAATTATTAAAACAAGTAGATAATCAGAAAATATAATGTATACATTGAAGCTGTTTACTGCTGATGTATTAATGCACAACTCTTCGTCCAACATTCGTTTGGTATTTTGGACTCTGCGTGTGATAACCGTTTCCTTGTTGAATAGTAAAACTAGGATTTATTTCATATTCATTATGAAGGCGGCATAGATTAATGTAACTGATATCGTTTTTCTTTAACAAATTTATCACTATTATTATATTCAACAGAGGCTTTATCCATTGGAGTTCCTGGAGAGGTTATGGGCTACTGGGAGGCCCATAAGAAATATGGACGACTTCCATGGAAAGACCTCTTTCTTCCCGCCATTGACTTAGCCGAGAATGGACATTACCTTGCATATACACCGAGATTAAGTTTTGACTATTTACTACATGAAAACATTGATCTATCTCAAGATAAAGAATTTTGGTAAATGTAATATTATCGTTTTATTTTTAATTATTTTTTCTAAGTAATGAGTACCTGAATCATAAAGGATGTTCCTCTTTTAATAAAGAATTCCCGGCGTGTTGGTTCTTTAGTTATTAAAACAGAAATTTGCTTTCAACATACTGTTAAGGAAGTTTCTATTTTTTTTTTTTATTTCGTTCCTCAGCAAGGTATATTGTGACGACAGCGGTAAGATAGCACCGGAAGGAGCCATTATCAAACGGCCCCGTCTCGCCCAAACCCTAAGAGGGATCGCAGACCATGGACCCGCCTACTTACACGAGGGGACGGTAGCGGATGCAATTGTGAATGAAATACAATCCAAAGGTGACATTTTAAACTCGCGCCATTTACACTTATGTATGATATTACTCAAAAACGTCATTCACTAAACGCTCTGTACACAGAACCGGATAATGTTGAGTGAACAAAATGTAACGTTGTATTCATTATTTCATTCTGGTCCGAGTCATCAACCCCTTGCTATCAAGCATAAGATATGTAATTGTGTCTCGCTGTTGTCTTTTCAAAACTAAGTTGATATAACAAACATATTTCCATTTTCTTAGTTTACTGCAAACACGTCCAAAAGTAGAAGAGAATTAATACTAAAGTAATTAAAGTAATCAATATTAAGTTGAAATAACAGCAGATGATTAATTGCCCTTCGAAATCGATGAAACGTCAGGCAAAATGTAAACAAACAAAAAATTACCCTGAGGCCTTTGAAAATGTAGGAGGTAAACTATTTGCTTAATCTGTTGAAAAAACTACAAGAAAATACCAACACATCAACATATTCACAGTACAAACATATGGAAAAAGTATACGGAGACTCATGAAAATTCAGAAGGAGAATGAGACCATGTGTTCCAAAACAGTAAGCACCTTCTGCTTCATTGCCAACACTTCAATCAACTTAAGCAAGTAATATCACGTTCTCAAATGAGAAAAGGGTATGAAATAGCGAAACTGACAGGCAAATTAACGAGCATCAAACACGTCAAGCTTCATATCGAAAATGTATCCCATACTGAAATTCGGTCTGAAATTATTCATAAATAAAACTACTCACATTTAAACCTTTAACTTCCATTTGTTGACAGGCGGTGTTATCACAAAGAAAGACCTCGCCGAATACGTTCCTGTTGTAGAAGAAGGCATTTCAGTAGATCTTGGTGACGTCACATTATTGACAATGGGTGCACCTAGTGGAGGGCCTGTTCTTGGTCTAATTCTCAACATACTACAAGGTCAAGAATTCTTTTTTTTTTCATTTTGAAACAGGCATAAGGTTTACTCTCAGATTATAATTTTCGTAAAAATGAAAAGTGCATATGCATTTTGTTAGAGAGAGAGAAAAACAACTTAAAACAAAGCCGAACACTCTTCCATGAAAAGTATAGTTACTAAAAAGATTAAGCAGTATTTTTAAAACATCAGATATTGTATATTTTTTCTTTTTCAATTTCAGGTCTAAATTTGTCTGCTAAATCATTGTCCTATCCAGAAAAATATGCCAAAACATTGCATATGATAATAGAAGCCGTTAAACTGGCTTTTGGTGAAAGATGGCAGCTTGGAGATCCAGCTTTTGTATCGAATATGAAAAAGGTTTGCCAAAATGTGTCACAGCTAAGTATTTACTAAAGGTCCCGAGATGTTGAAAATCCTAAGCGATGATACATAGCATGTTCTGTTGTTGTTGCTGCTGATTATGTTTGAAATCGTTCTTTTTGTTGTTGATTGATGCCAACCCATTCTGTGTACTAGGTTGTAGGCAAAATGACATCAGAGGGGTTTGCTGATGATCTTAGAAGCAAGTTAAACAAGTACAAGACTCATGATTCGTCCTATTACACGAATAGGTCATTCCAGGCATACGATCATGGTACTGCGCATGTATCTGTCTTAGCCCCGGATGGAAGTGCTGTTGCAGTTACCAGCAGTATTGATTACTTGTAAGTGTTTTTTTTTTCAAAATATAATGAATCAAATTCAGAGCCAAGCAGATCATCAACTTGTCTATTATCATGATTACTTAACAGTATACTATAAAAAAGAAGGATGCAGATTATTGCACCGACTAATTAAAACAAAAACTTTTGATTAAATCGTGGTTTTATTTAATTTTTAAAAAAAATTAAATGACTAGATCATTCCTGATCTTATTACCAAGGCCTTAGAATAAATTAGTAAAAATTAGTTCAATGGCTACTTGTATTAGAATCATGAAAAAATGTGAAGAACACGATATCTGTATATGTAGTTATTTTTGGAACGAAATTCAGGAAACCATGAACAGACAAGCGATTTTCTGTCGTTTGCGTGACGTCATACCGTCACGTTTGAAGATCTTAATGGATACTCTACAGAAATATTAGCTGTCCATCGTGTTTAACTATGTTATATTTGCTTCCTCTCGCCACGTAACGATAACTTTAAGTGGAATCATTTAAAATGGATGCTTCATAAAATCATTGATAACGTAACACGATTAAGGGCGTTTAAACCTGTCTGTACGGATGCCACGAATTTCCAGCAGCTCGCCAAATTATGAGAATAGGGTTTGTAAATAAGGATGGGATGCTATTAACATCAGCATCATTTTACGCCAGAAATCTGTTCAAGCTGACATCACAGCATACTTCAAAGCAGTAACTCCTACTACAATTTTTCAAGCCAATTGCATCAAACCTTTATCAACTATAAACAAACGCCACGGCAGCGAAATAGAGACGAGCTACGTAAGAACTACATCTCCGTCAGCATGTTCGTGTTCTACCTTTGCTTGTATCTATGGTCCAACTGGGTATTACTAACTATAGCGTTATCCAAAATATTAAGATATGAAAGCTTCTCATGAAGGGTCCTAAATATCGTGAAATCCCGGCATTTAAGCGAAATATTAATTTCAAGATATCTATGGATTTCCTTGTAAACTGTGCCAGAGATTGTGTGATACGCGAACATGTTTGCGTTGGATGATAGGGATACAGAGCCCGGTTATATCGGATTCCTGACGATCACAAGAACCAACATAAGCAGCGTTTTACTATTGGTTCGTCTGGGTGTTTAACACAACCATTGTCCAAACGTTTTACTCAACCATTCTTAGACTATTAAATCTTTGTTACAGTCTTATTATGTTACTGCCTACTCAAGAGGTAATAGTTTTTCCTATTATGAGTTTCTATTTCATTGTAGTGATAACAACATTGTTGGCGCGATATGAAGTTAAACGTGTTGGTCCCGTTGTTGTATACCTTGTTCTCATTTGAGATCTCAACATTACCCACTTCAATTGATCAAGGTTTACATGGCAGGAGTCGTCTATGAAGCAGAAGACACTTTCTGATCGTTTTTAAATAAGATAGTATGATAAAACACATCCCAATCAGCTTAATACTTCGATAATAATACGATTAGTACACACTTTTATTTTCAATCATTACGTATTTTTTTTGTCTCTAAGGACCTTTTTGTTGTTATTTACTCTTTAGTTATGGATCAACAATAATGTCAGAGTCTACTGGAATCATATGGAACAATGAAATGACCGATTTTTCCAAGGTACATCAGTTGTTTCTTGAAATCAATATATGGCACATGTAAATGTATTCAAGATGGGTTTAACTTGATTCTAAATATTACTATGCTGACAGTATGAATGCTTAGATTTTTCTCTTTGCTTCAGCTACTATTATTATTATTCTAAATGAGATTAGAGATAATTCGTCATTGCAAATATCACATAAAACTATATTTTGTGAAGTCAATTTTGATCTAGTAACTATAGTGAATATCAAGAAAATAAAGTGAATCGAATTGACAAAATTCGCTAATCGTTAATAATGTATACGAAGATGTGAAAACATCATTAATTAAAACAATATGCTTGTAGTTATGGCGTCAGTGATTAGTCAGCTAAGATCATGTTGACATGGACATGGAAATTTGTATCGGTGGTATACATGTGCATTAACATATTTATTTGTTGGGGAATCCCGTCTTGTCAGGATAATCCAAGAAACCAGGTCCAACCCGGGAAACGCCCACTCTCCTCCATGGTGCCATCAATATTTGTGGACAAGTCAGGTCATGTGAGGCTCGTGATAGGAGGAGCCGGTGGTATGTCAATCACGCCAGTTGTGGCCGAGGTAAAGTTATCTCTCTTTTGATTCAAGTGTAAGCTGTCTCCTTCAGTATCACGTGCGCATTTCTTTTTTAGCAAGATTCAATCAGTTTTCTTCCTCATTTGAAAGGAAGGGATCTTTGGAAAGGTAAATGCTAATGGTTGTTTTACAACTCCAGTATGGATTATTTCGTATAGGTGGGGTATAAATTAATTACTTTATCTGTGTGTCTTTACATTATATTCATGGTTATATTTAGTCCATTTCTATATTGGTAATCATCAGTTGTGATCACAAGTGATCCTTGACTAATTTGGGATAAAAAGATTTTGTATAAGCTATCTCATGAAACTGTTTTAACTTATATAATTACAATATAACATTATCCAACCAAGGTTTATACCTGATTAGATTTTAGTGCCCAGCGGCAAGATGAAACAAAACATCATTCCATCCATTTCGCAGATAGGAACATTGTATCATCTTACTATCCAGTTATATATCACATTATATTGCAGTGGTCATCCATCAATATTAAAGTGCATTGATGACCACTTTTGAAATAAAATATATTGCTTGAACCCCTGAATAGTTTAACCGCTCAATAAATTTAGATCTCAAGAAAAGGAGGAGAGGGTGGGGGTATATCTATGTGAGACTCTGCTCACTTTGATATTGAAAAAATAGGGTTGACTTGAGGCTGGAGTTCGCGAAAGCAGATCTGTAAGGAATACCCTATGTTGATTCTACGAAAACAGCTTATCTCTTGATCATATTTCATCACTGTTTTTAACGAGACCCTGAATTATTTCCCGCACTTTCTTGGCGTTATTATTTTGACCTACTGGACAGTCGTTGACGCTTCATTAACCAAAGTCATTTTTTTCTGACATAAATCATATTTTTATCTATTTTGCAATTTGTTATTTTAATGTTTTGTTTCTTAACAGGTTTCATCATACGTTCTGTTCTTGGGTGATACACTTGGGAAGGCCATGCGACGAAAGCGATTCTTTAATCAGCTTGAAAAGAATGTTTTAGTGTATGAGAAAGGATTTCCACAGGTGACTCATCATTTCAATATACATACCCAGGTGTAGATGCCTTTAACAGACGTCCAAAACAATGTCCACTGTCCAACTCAATTATAACATAAACGTTTATATGCATTTATAATACTTATTGTAGGAAATGTATCTATTTTCCGGCTGTGATTTGTGTAAAACTATGACTTAATAATTGATATCATGAAAATCAACATTTTATGGTATGTTCTATGGCAGTAAAAGAATATCTCTTCATTACTAGACCACCGACCCTGCTTGACGTCGTGATTTCTCCTTCACAAACCCCATCTGGCCAGAAAGAATAGTATTGTTACTATTCAATATGATACACACATCATAGAGAATATAACATACCTGTTTACAGTGGTTTGCGAACAAGGCATTTGAAGTAATACCTGAATGGCATTGATCAAACTCAATATAAAAGTTTTGACTATGTTCCATAAAAATGACATCTTGAAATCTTATATTGAAACATGAAATTGCATTCACTTTTTTAGCCTGCCGATATATTGACATATAAGCGAAGAGCTCTCGTCACATAAAACAAATCCACTGTTCATTCGGAGTAATTATTATTACAATATTATAATCACAAAATAATTTCATATTTTCTTTGCCTATACCAATGAAAATATACTTTTTAATATCATGTTTTTTTTCAGGTATTATATTTAAATGCCAGCACTGACAGAGATGCAACAAAACAATCTTTATATGTCGATATTTGAATTCAGCCGTTAAAGCTCAGAATAAAATAACTTATGATGTAATAATTACGACGTTATTGCTTTCTCAGGATATCCTTCGGTCTCTGGCGGATAATTTTGGACACGAGATAGTACAATATCCTGGAAGGTATATGGCTGTTTTGCAGGCTATTGAGCGACATCCTATCACTGGAAAAGTAACCGAATTCCCAGATGAACGAAAGATATATTTCTAAGATGTAATTATTACGTATGTACTATATTAATTATCATATGCATATTTTTTCTGTTCCAATCATATCAGTCATTTCATATTTACGTTTACTACAGTTCACTACAGTAAAAACAGTTTCATGTTTAATTGAATAAGTTTTCATATAAGATTAGAAATGGTTTCCCACTCGCAAATTAACGACAAATTTTTCCTAGAAATAAGGTTATAAATGGGAAGCATTCAAGTGTTCAAAATGTGCAAAGAAAACTCGATGATGATGATGATGATGATGATGATGATGATGATGATGATGATGATGATGATGAAACAGACATTCCTGAGCGTTTTTAACATCAATTATCACAATCTTTATAGAGTTATTTCTTTCCTTAAATAGTAACAGCCCGTCTCTCTTGCTGATGCAGTTTACTAGTAATAGATATGCGATAAGGCTTCAGTGTGTCTGAGTATTCTTTGTATGTGTTGAGTAGACAAATAAATGATGCATGAAAGATGGAAATGTGTAATAAACCCAGGATAAGTGTTATTGTCTAGCTATCTCGTCTTTTGTACTGTAGTATGTTTTCCTGAGGAAGGGTCCTTGTCACAAGGAACACACCTGAAGTCCTACCTTTCACGGTGAAATTGGTATGGGCAAGGTTTATATTGAAAACAGTTGACAACAAACAGGCAGACAGCTAAAAAACCAATATACCCACGATCCGAGGGCATAAAGATATCTTAAGCGAAGACATAGTTGTAGATTCGATACACTATGTGATAATGTAATGACCGTATGGACTTGTGAGAATTGCGTAAAGGATACCACTTGTGGCAGAAACATCAAATAACCCAACTCCGCAATGCGTGCCCATACTACTTATAAATCCCTGCCCCTTGTTTCTCAAATGATATTGAGAGTTACCCATTGGTTATTGAAAATTTCAATTGCCGCCACTTAACAAACAAGAGTGTTAAATGCAAAATTGACACTCAAAATATATCAATCTGACAACAAATCTGGTGCAGTCATGTGATAAAAAATGTTTCCATTTTTTTTAATTTTAAAATTTGTTTGGAAATTTTAACTAACCGATGGTTATCTCTAACCAGCCTAGTCTCCACGTAAACACAATGATGCCAGTTGCTGACCACAAAGAAACTTTTCAAGACTTTCACGACACAGTGCAAGTGGTTAGACACATGGAGACTTTCTATACATTTGTTAATACGTATACAATATCGTACTGAAATACAAAATTACACTGACATACAAAAGCATACTGAAATATAACATTGTACAAAATATAATCTCATGCTTAAATACCATATAACATTGACATGCAATACTATATATAAATAAAACATTACACTACCATACAAATTCATACGGAAATACAACATTACACAAAAATACATTGTAATTCTGATATACAATATTCCACAAATATACATTGTCACACAGGAAGTACAATATTACACAAAAATACAATATCATATCGAAATACAGTATCACACTGACATGCAATACCATATACCTATTTACAATATTACACTGGCATACCATGTAATACAGACATACATTATTGTACACACCTACAACATCATTGTGAAACACAGAATTAGATATTTACCATTGTATGGTATTTCTTAATGTAATTTTACCGCAGTCAATTGCGTATTACCAACTCATTAACTGCCAGCAGCTAAGAGATATAACAAGTGGAAATATAGGAAGGAAATAATTTAAAACGGTGAATATAAGCATTTAACTACTTTTAGCTGAACTTTTTACTTCATTTTTACTGGATAAACGCAAATTCATCATTGAATTTGCCGTTATCGTGTTGGTATTCATATGCCCAGGAATGTCAATTGAAAGCAATTGAATATTTAAATCATGCTATTAAATTATGTTAACATGCAGTATGTCGCAAGGAGAATACATCTTTCTCGGGGTAATCTAGTTCGGAAGTTGAATGATAAAGTCTAATTATGTCATCAAAGTTTACCTGAAAGAAGCAGATACACCAGAATGGATACTCTCCATTTTGATACCATGCATGTGACAACGTTGCAAGTCTTATAGAAGGCGCTACACAGTTTGGACCTTCACTGTATTCCTTTGCGACGCCTGATGACGTACGAGTGAGTGTCGGTAGAACTAGGGTAGATGTTGCCATGCGCATTGCTAGGGATGGTGGGGCGCGTTCGACAGACAATAGGTGAAGGAGGTTTGTTGACGGTCTTATCATTCTCAGGGATGTCAAATGTCAAAGGATTGTTGTAATAATCCATCTTTAATGTGCCATTGTTTGCGAGGAGATAGTGGGGAACTTTCCTTCCCATTTCTGGAACCTAAATTAAAGACAATGATATAAGTATTCGGTTAGAAGCTGTATAAATTTTTGAAGGGAGGTTATTGGTCTTGACAATTTTTGTGCAAGTATATATAAAAAAGATCGCAAATCTAGATATTTTCGAAAGTTGAACTTGCTGTTGTATTTACTCAGTCAAAATATTTATTTCTTTTAACAAAGACAGCAAACCATTACTGGAAATAAAATAACATGCATTATTTCACAATGATAGAAAATATCGCAACTGTGAAAATGAAAACATTGGGCAACGTGTAATTAATATATATTCATTGCATTGGGGATCAACCAGGTCCATAGGGAAGCGATTTCGAGTTATAATGCCTTAACTTGAGGGTACATGGCATCGATGTTTATGGATAAATGCACAAGACATTTTGGTGCATTACAACCCCAACCCAATTGTGAAATGATATGCCAAGAATGCAGTGCAAGGAACATATGCCTCAAGTAAGACGTTCTAAAGACGAGTTGTGTAGGAGATTGAGCCCGGATGTTTTCTTTAAGTAGGCCAAGGATCAAAAAGTAGGTCAGTTGGACCAAATCTTAAAACACGACACGAATCTTCACCTAGGTGAGTTCACACAACAAATATGAAGTTCCAGTGGTTGGTAATGTAGGAGACAGAGCCTGGACAAAATGTTTTTCTTTTATACAGATAAAATAAGTCGGGATGACCTACTTATTAACATTACACACCACCTCACCAAGGTGAACCTATACCCTAAGTATGACGTCATATGACCACTTATGTCATAAATAGAGCCCTATTTTTTCTCTTTTATGTAAGTTACGAACACAACACAAACCTATATTCGTGACACCAAAGATTCGTCAATATATTTATATATTGTTATTTCCATTTATTAATTTCTTTTTGCGTGTTTGATTTTTTTCCGTTTCTTTGATTGCATTTTTAAATCTTTGATTTCTGTTTTATTTTTTTCTAATGTCCCAGAACCATTTTTTTCGTTGAAGGACAGTCATTGTTGAGGCCCTGGGTTCTGTCCCCTGATAAAACCTCTCCTCTGTATATCTAATTGGTCATCTATGTATATCTAATTGGTCATCTATGCATATCTAATTGGTCATTCGCTGCTTTTCGTCATGTTTCTTTCCACACAATCAGAAAAACTGTCAGCGAGCATGAATCTGATTCAACTAAATGTGTTTTCTTTCACACTAAGTACATTAATATGCCACATATCAAGAGAATATTCTCAGCAGTAATTAACACCTAAGCGGTGTGACATAGGTTACGTAATTCCATTTTACTTTAATTTCTATATTTTTCAAACATTTGCGCGTATTTTCTAAGCTTTTCAACAATAGTTAACTGTCGAAACTTTAAAAAGTGAACAAGTGCTTATGAATTGCGGAATACCAGCACTTTACAGCATTGAACAGTAGGCAAAAATATCCCAAAAATACGACATATATCTTTTTTCAATTTCATTTCATTTTTTCTTTTTTTTCAACCTTTTTGGAAAACCCGTTTTATGAACTTTAAGGTTTTACTTTTTCACTTTAAAAGCCAACACGAAATGTATACAATACAGTATATAATGAATACTGCATGTTAAATGCAGACATATTTTCCTACATAAACAGATACATACTGGTGGTTTGGACAACCGCTTCTTAAGAACGGCTTTCTTGCAGTTGACGGCAATTTTGGTATCCTCGGGCTTTTCATGAGGGGTGGGAGATGGTACTGGGCTTGGGCTCCGATTAGGAGTCGTGTCGACCGGAGTCTTGCATTTGTTGCATTCTGTGTTCGGAGACATAAACACGGGGACGGTGATCGGAATACAGGAACTTGGAATATTCATTCGTAACACACTGGAACCTGACGCTAGGCTCCTGGCAATCTCCAATTTACGATAGGTGTAGTCCTCCCTAAACAACAGTCAAATAAAGGAGAAATATGGTACATTAATAACATATAACGTTGTAAATGGCGTTTCAGCAAAATCGTAATTCAAACTCAAAATTGTTAAAACGAGAGTAGATTGTAAATAAGGTAAAGAATAACACTGATAACTTTGAAAACGTACTAAGGATTAAAATCGGCGACATCCAATTTCTTAATATATATCGTACATAATAGGCCAATCCAAATATGATGTCACGTTTTCGAATGGAAAACCAATCTTATAACATCGTAACCATCACGCATGTTCATGAGCATAGAAGCGGCATCTACCTGCATGTCGTACAACGAAATATGATAATAGATCATTTCCCAATGTTATCATGATGGCGACCAAATAACTGTACAACAGCAATCACCGACATGTATTTCTCGAAATTCTGGGTTTTAAGTTTGTTAGCTTTCAACAGTCGGACAGTCGGGGAAAGAATGTTTCTTGACTTGTTAAGGACACTTTTCTCACACTCTATAGTGAATTTTCTTGGGAAATGTTAAGTTCGCGAATGTTACCAGAGTAGATATTCGTTTATCTTGTATCAGTCAGGTATTTCTGAACTGGTCTTATAGTTCCACTGCCAAGCCACTACATGTAATTATGAGGTCTTCAAACAAAACTGAAAATTTGCATTTACAAGGGCGTTTAGTTAATTTCAACACTGGGTGACTCATTCTGAAGTCAAAATACTATTCACAACCGCACAGGAACGCAAAATATAGCACAGAATGAATTAGGTTTTTTTTAATTACCGATATTTCTTGGTGTGCTCATTAGGAAGCAAAAAGTGTTCGAACTCGTATGAAATGACGTCAGCCGAATTAGTACTACCAACGACATAAGGACATGGCACTGGTATACTGTGATTCGAACTTCCGGTTGACGTATGGGATTGAGATTCCATAGTCCTGTCTGCGACGTCACCGTAGAATTTCCCACCTGAGGACTGGGCACGCAATGGATGATCCAGATGCAACTTGCTTTGTACAGTGTCTCGATTTTCGAACATGTCCATGGACGTTCTTACCAATGTCGACTGAGCACGAGGGGGGCCGTTGATCTGGACCTTGCTCATAAATACCTTCTCACGTTTCATGCCATTCTTCACGCAGGCGGACTGACTTCTATTACGCATCATGTCACGTGTTTCAGCGGAAGTGAACTTTAGGTATCCAGAGCTGTCGGCAGAATGAGGCCTTGAACAAACATCCCATCCCCGGAACTCCTTCATTGTTTAATAGATAATATTTTGCACTTCATTCAAGCGATTCAAAAACAGCCATAGACATACATTGTTCATAAGTTCAAACTGTCAAAAAATATACATAATTTTTTATCAATTATTTTCATTTCAATTTTGGTAACACTTTCGTGTATGTGCACATGAGTACGTAATCAAGGAGTTGTATGTCCTTTGTAATGCACGAACATTAAGTTGAAATCCTTGAAATTACTGCTATATATAAAGAGTATGGATCAAACCATTCCACAGTCCTTTTAATATCTAAATCATTATTCAATTTTTTTCTTGTCTGTTACTAAGGCCTTTTGACCTTTCAAAAGTCAATGTCCTTAACTTTTGTATCTTACCTTACCTTTTTGGTGACAGTTTTCCCTGGACTTGACGTATAAGCTGAGCTTAGGGACTGTATAATTTGTGCTTGTCCTCTGTGAGGAGGTGGACTGTCAAATTTGTATTTATGAGAGGAAGCACACGATCCTTGTGTATGCTGTCGGACAGTTGTAGCCCATGTGTTTGTCTCATCCTTCATTTTCTTATTTAATTCTTTATCATTTTCATCCTCAACATCTTGTTCCATGCCACGTAAGCTGCTTGTGGCACTCGCCTCAAACATTTTCTTGTACCCACAGGACAAATGGTTAGGGTTAATTTTGTACACAACGTTGCGGAAGTCTTCGTTGTACCGGACACCGTGCGCGCCGCACCAGTCCACAGGACTGTCCAGTGATGTACTTGTCTCCGCGTCGTTGACAATGATGTCATCGCTATGATTTTAAAGACAAAAAGTTCATTAGTCTACAATACTAAATATCTACATTCATATTATTTTTTGTATAGTTTATCACGCGACATTACCTCGTTAAAATGTCCTTTAGTTATAAGTGTAGTAAAATTCTTTTCAGTTAAACTTATTTGATTCGTGTAAATTGACCGTGTACATTTACAAATTATTCGTACAAAGGATAATTTGGAAACAAAATAATGCACTTATGCATAGTCCTCATTAAATACAACAATACGTGTGTAACTTGTACGGTAATAATTAAAGAGGTATGTAACCATTTTGAGAACATGACATTGAGAGCTAATGACATATATATATGAAAAATGATACACGGCAACCATAGACAGTAATAGTTTGTAAATCTTTCACTCTACTGGAGTAAATATTTCAAGATTATAATAATTTATATTAAAGTCATACATCGCCAAACAAACGGAAGTCGACATTTAGTAGATGCGTCAAAGGAGCTACATGTAAGTACCTCTTTTGCGAGTCAGTATGATTCATACACTGCTACAGACAGTTTGAAGTAATTATAAAGATTTTGTCCCTTGAATGGCATTTAAGGATCTTAATCCTATACGTAATCTGTTGTGATTTAATCTGCCTTCGATCCTACATACATGGTAATCAATGTTCTTAGGGATGTTCACTTGATTTGAGAGTATGATAATTATTCGTGTTTTGCTAATTTTCGTAAAAGACCCTACCTAAAAACACAGAAAAAAAACACTGAAAAGTCAGCAGAATCATTATTCAAACTCTATTTAATGAAACTGGGGCAAAATATGAACAATAGAAAATGAGACTCCTGAAAAAGTAATAAATAAATAAGAAAAATGTGTTCCGGAAAAGTAAGCGCCTTCTGTTTCAGCGACAAACCGCCATGTAAAGCTTGGGAAATCCAAGTAAGTAATTAAGGTTGCCAAATACAATGCAAAAACAACAACGGAACCACCAGATATACTAACTAACATCAAACAAGCCTGAATCTATATTGCACAAGGAAACAGAATACTTCCCAATGAGATCGTCATTCGTAGAAATTCACCTGAATTTTCATCAATCTGCCTCTTTTGAAAGCTTAAGCTGTTGACTTCTTCCACAAGAAAATAACGACGGAATCGACGATTTGAGGTCGGCTCAAGGCATTGACTCCGTAAAGTATCACTTCCATTCACTAAACTTAAGATTCCGACCACAAGTTCACTGACGTTAGATTTTTTTTTTTTCCCCGTTTACTTGAAATATAACATCTACTCGTCAACGATGGAACGTCTATCTAGCAGACAGCGAGATCTTGTAATACTCAGCTGATGCAGAGGAGTTATTTAATATGCGATTAGAAATAATCATTCAGACAAGGTCAGTTAGACCTAAGAAAGATAGCTTTCTCTGAAAGCATATAAAACTATAGATTTTGAGAAAAAAAAAAGTATAGCTTATTGGGAATAAATTGTGAATAGATCGATATTTTGATAAGATTATCAGTGTTTAAATGTTCTAGTGAAGGAGCTCAAAAAAGGTGGTTTATATCTGCCAGCAAAAATAAATAAAACAAAACATAAACAAACCGATACATGTGCGTGAACAGAAAAGATGAAACACAACACGGTTCAACTGTTTATTACAATCCTTTTTGATATATTCTTTTCTACAAAAAAAATGGACACTGAAATAGTTTGACAACGTTAAAAAGTAGGTGCTGAGTTTTTTACTATTGAGATGGACTAATGGAAACGAAAACATCAGAAAACACAGAATGACCAGGAGTATTCGAACTAGTAATGATGTAATATTATTGCAGACTCTCTCTCTCTTTCTCCTTCTCTCTCTCTCTCTCTCTCTCCCCCCCCCCCCCCCTCCCCCTCTCTCTCTCTCTGTCTCCTCCTCTCTCTCTCTCTCTCTCTCTCTCTCTCTCTCTCTCTCTCTCTCTCTCTCTCTCTCTCTCTCTCTCTCTCTCTCTCTCAAACACACAAACACACACACACACACACACACACACACAGCTTGATATTGCGATAATAACTTGTGCTCAATTCATTTGCGTGGCAGTAAACTACATTTCGTGTGTTTACAACTGAAATTAAACCCGCCATGTAAATCTTGGCCAACCCAAATAAGTATGATCTCGCTCTCAAATAGAACTTAATTGTCTCATTCAGTTGGATATCTAATATTAATCCGTACAGGTATGTATGAGAAAGGGTTCCCTCGCTACTTTGCTTGGCAATCCTTTCATAACCTTTCTGGAATAAGTTTATTTTCACGATCCTGAATCAACAATATGTAATGAATTGGTCAAATATTAATTAAAGCTGTATTAAGTGTAAGTTATAAGAGCTTATGTGTTACAGTAGGTGGGAAAATAGTGATTTAAAATACATTTGTTGAATACAACGACCTCCCGTGAAACTTGATTTTATAAATATGAAGTCCCCGCAACACCCTCCCCATGTCCATTTTGGTATGTTAAAAAAACATATATTTTAGGTCCGCTTCTGTTTGTAACAACTGAACTAGTGCAAAATGAACACAGGGAGTGCATTACATCAGAGAGAAAAAAATGATTTAGTGGATATAATACTTGTTTTGAAGCATATGGGTCTGCTGGAGATTAGATAGTGAATTTTGGTTTTAACATTGACAACTTGTTTAACGTGACGCTTTCAAAAATGGAACACTTCTCAACCCAAAATAGAACACTTCTCAAATATCTGACGCGGAATTTTTATTTTGCAATACCAGATAATTTTGAAAATGAAATTATTGAAAAAAAAAAGCAAAAAAAAAAAAAAAAAAAAACGGGAAATGATGCCATGTTACAACATAAATATTCTATCATATTTTTAAATGATGAAAACTACTCCTGATATTGATGCTTTCGATAGATAAATGACTGGGATTAACGAGCAAGTTAGTTGAATGTAAGAAGTGTTCCATTTTGGGTATCCCTATCTGTTGAAACGCAATGCTGACCCTGGCTTGACTTCTTGTGTTCTATTTATAGACACGCTTGCTGCTGACATGTATAAAATGAAAGCTGAGGGAATCTTTTTGTGAAACATATAGAAGAAATAAAAGATCCAAAAATATTTCGAACTCTTATTTCAATTTTTATTTCTATCTCTCTCTTTTTACCGCATGATGAAGGCATATTAACCAATATTGCTATAACTTTACGAAATAGTTACTGTACATAAATAGTGTTATGAATATAGAAATGTACACTGTTCAATCAATCACGATGCTTGACGTCGATATATATAATCTTATATTATTACTACAATATATTTCATTTAATTTTCGCTCGCAAAATTAAAAATCTCCTATAAATAGAAAACTTTCAATGTATTCGAAACAGCTGTTTAATTATTTTACGGTTATTTACGGTATCTATCCTATTTCATTATCATGCTGTATTTTGGGTAGGTGTTAGTTGATTTAGGCTTTGCATGTCGTTTGAAATGCCTATAACAGAGGGTGTACTTTTTTTTCAATATGAAACAAAAATGGATCAAGGAAGTACCGACTCCTTTGTAAAAAGATAAAAATAAGATAAATTACTAGATCTTGGAACGATTACTATAGACTGACTGATTTAAAAATTCTGTGGCGTTACATTTAGAGTCCATGCTAAAATTACAATTGAACCTTTAAGGCTTACTCTGAAAATGGTTTCTGATGAATATAGACTCGCGACTTATTTACACTACATGGGCAAACACGGTGTCCATGAAATAAAATATCAATGCATTTTTTGGTGAATTATGATAAAAACTTATATTTCTGCAACTAAGTGGGAAATATTGATATTTTTCGACAAAATGTGTTTCGCTTCGTTACATTCTGTTACTAATAAACTATTGTTTAACATTATGTCTAAATTTAGGCCTTTAAGGCTTACTCCATGTACTGGTTATTTTAAGTCTACAACAAACTATTGCGTGTACATTATTACAATGCATAGTACTACAGAATGTTATTTTATCATTGGCTTGATTTGAGGGCTATATATGTACGTACATACCAATTTTCCAGTTGTGCAGTTATATCTTTCATGCCGATAACAAGAAGCAGAATATGTCATGAGTTTTTGAACTGTGTGAACTTTCCACATCATGACGTCACTGAATGTCATAACTAGTTTGACCAATGCCAATCCGGAATTTCCTATGATGATACACTCGTTATATATTTCTTTATTTAAAGAAAGACAAAAATACATCGATAATGTACATCAAAATGTTTATGATAAATTAATATTTTGGTCATTTTTACATAAGTATATGATGTTTTGATTATCAGAAGTACAAGCATAATTGTTTTGATTTTAGAAGTTTACTTTTGCCTGACCTCATGAATAATTCATGAGGATTGAAAGGAGGCTTTGGCTGCATAGGAAGGGTTGCACCATGTCGGATCATGAGAGTGGTGACGAGGCGCAGCAGGCCCAGGGTAGCTATCTAAATTTGACTTAACACGAACTAATAACATATTGTAGTCCAAATACCAATTAATTATCATGCATTACATGCCTTTCCTGATATGCTGACGTAGCTGTTTTGGTATGAAATACACCGTGGTTCATTTCAACTTTGTACACAAATCATCAGCTCACTTTCGATTTTCAAAAATATGAGCAAAATTATTGTATGACCTTCCTGAAACTTGGTACATACATATGTCTAGAAAGTATTTTGGTGCCCATGAATCAATAATTATAAATGACAACCACTAGAAAATGATAATCATGCACGCGGAAGGTGGTTGAATGTCGGTGTCAGCTAGAAATCCAACATGGCGAGACCTACCGATTGCATCTGTCATAAACTTGTGTGTATTTCTGACAGAGCAGTTCCACAGGTGTTCAAAGTGTGTAAGGGAAATGTTCGTCATTTAATGTTTTTTTCGTCGAAACGTGTGAGTATCTGAAATATCCTGGCCGTTGAAGGAATACGAAACTGAAATGTCGGAGGTGTCGGAAGTGGACGTCTGCTCGTTTTATGATAGAAGTTTATTTTTTTTTTTAATTATGGCCGAACCTTGTTCTTTGAAACATAAAGAATACAATTGTATTGTTGATTAAATGTTTGTTGTTATGTCATGTCTTAATTTATAAGGCTCATATTTATGTAAAATGTAAAATTGACAGGTGTATTCAAAGCGTGTGAGTGACCCAGATTGCATACAAGGTGGGAGTGGCCTTGAACCATGCATTTCGTTTGCCGAGACAGTGTATCATTTTAAACCAACCAAACATACTTATATTACTTCGCTATTTTGATTCATTGTCACATTCGTTAATAAATATACCATTGAATTATAGCAAGCATTCCTGCTTATATAAATGCATATCAAAATATCACCGACAGTTGAATAGCCTACAGTTCTGTAGGCCCTAAGTTATATCCATGAACTTCTATTCAAAACCAAAGTCCATTCCAAAAATGTTTTAAAAGGGCCCTCATGCAGGTGATTTGGAAATTTTATGAATATGAAGAGAATTTTGGTATATGATTCTGCGATCAAATATATTAACGATTCAGATTATTTTGATATCTATATCACCATGTACAACACCCACTGAGAGCTACAAGTTGAGTGCTTGAAAATGAGGAAAGGTAAGAAAAAGAATTTTGTTTGGTTTTCATATAGCACATGGATCCCACTGTTATAGATTATTTCATACTAATACATGTAGTTGAATGCTACATGGTTATTTCAAATACTTTGACACAGTTATGTTAGTTGAAGTGAATTCTGGAATTTCAGTTCAGAATTGCATATTTTTTTTGTAGCAATGTCATGTACAAATATAATCTGATGTTGGGCACACCAACTTTTTAACAAAGAATTCATCTCAAATAGCCATGTGAATAAATTGAATTGAGGAATTATACTGTTATATTTTTATGTTCCACATTTAATAATGGACACTGTATTGGGTCTCGACAGCTGCAGTCACCATAGGCTCTAAGTAGACAATTCACTATGGAATAAAATGGACCCATAACTACATTTGTAGGTAGTCATATATTTTTGGTCGTATACTGTTTATTCTTGTTTGTTTGTTGATTACCGAATGCCCAGGATATGTAGCTTGAAGTAAGAACTAAATGTTGTGACATAAATTACAAAAAAAGAGTCAAGGAAATGGTATACTTGGTATTAAGAAGAAATGTCTTGTTGCTGGTGTCAAGTGAGTCATGCTGAGATACACAGGAAATCTTAATTTCTGCTTTATGTGTAAACTGGTTTGAAGTGGTGCTGCTGTAGAATCAGAAAACTTGGACACATACTTGGACATCTCTAGCAAATGGCAGTAATGGTTCCTATTACAGTTTAAATAGAGAATAGATGAAAGATTTGTATTATTAAAACAAATATTTATATACAACAAAGTGCCTGAAATTAGATTCACTTGAGGAGACCCCATGTAAAGTTGCATGTTTTTCCTATCCAAAAAAACTGGATTCATATGTAACACCTCTTGTGATACTCCCATGATACATTCTGTGTTACAACATTTTCATTCATTATCAATGTCCTGAATTTGTATTTTACACAAAGTATTTGTCCCATGTATTCAATTTCCACAGAAAAAAAGCAACCAAACCATCCTTACACAGTGACCCTTGAATTGTTTATAACTTCTCTCAAACATATAATTTTTTTTGCTTTAATGATGTACATGTGTGTGTAGGGAATCTACTGATAAACAAACATCTGGCCAGGGTTTCTCAACACAGAGTTGTTCTACGTACAGGGCTTCCAGCAGTCAACATTCCAACAAGCATAAAAGTTTACAGGAACGAAATATATGGTTGCATCTAAATGTAGTTTGAGTCCCATTTTATTCCATTGTACGTCTCTTACATAGAGCACCCAGTGCCTAGTCGTTGATCCCCCAATATCCTTAATGAAATATTGAACATTCACACAATTTCTAAATTCTACAGTCAATTGATTCAAGTAGCTTTTTGAAATGAATTTTCTGTTAAACATCAAGAATATGTTTGTACATGACATTGCTTAAAAAAAAAACACATTTCAAAACTGAAATGTCAAAATTTACTCCAACTAGCGAAAAGTGTTAGAAATACCATGAAACTTATACAGTATTCATTCGCAGGTGTAGATATAAAGTAATAATAAAACATTGATGGGGTCCATTTATTATATGGGAAGTCAAAAAATAAGTTGGGATCAATATGGAAATGGTTTCTTACCTTATCTCATTTTCAAGCACTTCAACTTTAGTCCCCAGTGCTCACACATGCATATCAAATTATGTAAATGATGTTCAGCATGCATTCACATTTGTATGAAGTATTTGGGTTTCATATTCTATATTTCTTATTAGTGTTCTCTGTCCTAACAACATATTATAATTCTGATACTCATAACAATGCCATTCCTTGATTAGTCTTTTCAACTCAACAGTCAGAATTATACTTGTAGTTTGTATCGAGATTGTAATTTAAAAAAAAAAAACCACAATGTACATGTATGAAGATTTCACTTCATTCATAAACTATTAAATCAATGAGTAAATGTTGTTCCGTAACATTGTTTACTCTTGTTGTGTCTGTGGTTTCTAGCAATAATTTTTTCTCAGTTATAGTCTTCCTGTGTCAACAACAATTATGTAAGTGTTTGTTTGATGATTCCCTCATGAAATTAAGCAAGCTTAAGATGCAAGGATATATTTATAAATATTGTCTAACCTAGCTTATAGTTGTATAAGAAAAATGTAACAATGATTACTTAACCATCAAAGCTACTTGGTACTACATTTTATATTTGATCGAATTGGGTATATGAATCTAAATTTCTTTATGCTTTAAACCAGCTAGAACAAGTTCCCTGTGAAGACAAAGTTTATGTATGTCTCACTAACTAAGTAAAGAATATCCACTGTTTTGAAATGTATATTCATATATATATATTCTATATATGTAAATATATCATAAAAGAAAATAAACTTATTTTTCTTGTAGTTTCTTGGTAAATAATCATTTTGTTTGCATAGATTTTGCATTCATTTTCAGACCTGTATGTTGGGCTGTTTCTAACTTTAAAGAAGTATCTTCTTAGAAAACCTGTTTGCGTAATCTTATACTCGACTATTCCATGACCAAGGAAATTCATATCTACTTGTAGACTTCTGCCATACACAGCATAACCAAAAACTGACAATGATTGACAGCAATAGAGTGCTGTGCTTATAAATTGCCATGCTCTGTTGATTTAAGGTCACACTGACTTTTAAAGCATTTAAAGCACTTGATTAAAACTGTAGTCACTAAAATGCTTCAAGGCTAAAACTAAATGAAGGAGACAGAATTGTTGAATGAAATTATTTGTTTTTTAACAATGGGAATTTGAAATTACAATGGGCCACTTGGAGGGTAATGGCGCCATTTAGCATCTTTTAAATGATAGTAGAATCAGCCTTGATGTGATATTTTGTTCTTTCAGTAAAGTGATGAGAGGTAGTTATTTGTTAAATTAAACAGTATGCATATTCCTAGTTTATGCCAAAGGTCCAAGGGCCCACAAAACTAGGATTTATCTGTGCATTTTTTTATTTTCTTGGAATTTGACATATGATATGTAGCCTCCATGCTTTTGATGTGGAATATATAAATCTATTTCAGAAATTGCTCTTATATATCTCCATAGATTTTTCCTTGAAACTATGAAATTATCTTCCCTAATATTTCATAAAAGTATATACATAGTACTTAATATACGCTATCAAAGTGGTTGGTAATTTTATAGTGGTCTTTGGCTCACTGCCTTGCCTATTCTTCTGTCTCTCATGCTTTTGTTTGCACCGAGAAAATTTAAAAAAAGAAAATCAATCTTGTTCTGGGATGATGGTTATGAATGTATAATACATGTAAAAAGACATCCTCTTATTTTAATTGTAGGTGGGTCTGTTGAACAGGAACTTTGTACAAAAACTTTACAGATTCAGTCAAAAAGGTTCTACCTTGATGTCAAACAGAATCGTAGAGGACGATTTATCAAAATAGCAGAGGTAAGTAAAACTGTAACACTTCAAAGAAATAATTTTTGGTTGCCATACAAATAAACAATATTAGAGATCAAGTTTTCAGTGTCACTTCTTCAGGTTTTCTGCCTGAGGTACTCCACAAAAGTTTTGTCTTACAATAATGTATATGTTCTGTCAGTTTACCGTTCACCCAACTGTGGTTTACTGTGATTGATTTTGCCCCAGACTAGGGCCAGATATTGTGATACTTTGAACATCTTATCTGACTGTTGTATGTACAGTGAACGTCATCGGTTATTTTTTTTTGTCCACTTCATTTATGTCAGAAATAGATATGATACATTTCTAGAAAAAGATTGATTTCAAAGGTATAGTTTTTGAATAGATTGTCCCTAGATGCAGTCACAGTAAACTGCAAAATTAGTGCAAACAAAACAAATTTGATATTGTTGAACATGTTTAAATTATATGTATGCACCATACCAGCCCTTCTGTTTTTCTAGCTCCAACAAGCTCTCTCATCTTCGAGAGCTTGCCCTTAGAGTGGTCTTAGGCACCAAATGTAACGGGGGGGAAGTGGACATGCCTCCACCAGAGATTGAACCCCTAGCTTAACAGTCCTGACATTGTATTGATCAAGATTTGATAAATTCACTTTACATTTCTTGTCAAATCTTGTGCTTTTTTTCCTGAACAGGTTGGTGCAGGTGGGAAGAAAACTCGCCTTCTCTTGGCCATGTCTATAGCAGCTGAATTTAGAGATTATCTTACAGATTTCAGTGAGCATTATGCTTCCCTAGGTAAGTTGTTAGCAGAAAACTCCTGACATGAAAATGACTTTAATGATTCCAACAATATTTGACTTTATAACCTCATCTGTTTCGTTCAGATCAGAACAACTGATGTTTATCGTTAACATATGGCATTACATGAGACAGGTAAACTTGAGTATAATGACAGTTGTATCGTGTCATGTGACTATAGAACAGAAGTTGTGTTCCATAGTAAAGGGATAATACATACTAATGAGAAATGGACATTTAAAGGCAGAGATCTAATTTGTATAAATCAATTTACATATCTAGGTGTAAACCTGAGATTTATTTTTTTAAAAATTGGTATTCGGTGTATTTTACAACTTGCACCAATAGTTTTATTAATATGCCATGCTGTTATTTGTTCGTTTCTTGATTTTGTTGACAGAGATTTCGGAAGGCCGAAAGTAATTTAAAAGAAATGAAATTGAAATGTCTAGAATTTAACCTAGATTTACTGAATCAATAAGACTGTTGTTTTGTAAATTAACAGAATTACATTAAATTCTGTGATTATTACTGCTACTTGGGGAAGTATCATTTATAAGAAATAAGGGGATTTGTTCCTCTATTTTGGTCTCTTTTATTGATTGTAATGTAATCAGTTTGATGCATTTATTGCAAAGTATGCATGTAGTTCAAGTTGTTTAGTTTCTTTTGTTGAAGATATAAATGATTTTGAAATCAATGTATGGATAAGAAGATCTCTATATCTGGCTCTTCTACTTAATGTTGATAAAAGTCTTTCATGATTGCTAGTTGTAAATTTCCTGTAATTAAACCACATCACACAATGGAAGAATTTTATTTCATCTATGTATTTATAAGATGAAATGGATATCCTGAGTAATCCTGAACTCTACTGATTTTCTTTGCAATTTTGACATCGTCATATATTATTGGTTTTCTTCCTAAAAGAATCAATCAGTATTTATTATTTGTGACTATTGGCCCATTTCTGATTTGTCACTTATGTTTGATCTTTTAATTTGTATTTGTTGTAGGTCCTCCGAATCCAGACAGCCTTCCTGAAGATGGTAAACTGAAGAGTGAGACAATGGTGAAGGACAACCGACGATATTACTTAGACCTGAAAGAGAACCAGAGGGGCAGGTTTCTCAGGGTGAGTGTAAGTATCCAATTTTTATTTCTTAATTTTCTGGTACAATTCATACCATGTATTCCTGGATATTATGCCTAGATCATATGTCACTTGTACAAAAAGGCAGACCTTACAACCTCATTTGAGGTTTGACATTTCAAAAACTTATACGAATGTCCCTTTGATGTCGCAACCTAATCTGTCTAGTTCCAATTTTAGCAGTATTAACTGGAGTGGGGAAACAGAAGTTTCAATGCAACTGTCAAATGATATAACTTATGTTCAATAAAAGCTTTTTGTACATCAGAAACAAAAATTGAATGTGAAAATGAAGATAAACCTGATTTTAGTTTTAATGGTTATTTTTCAATCAGTTGTAATTATAAATAGCATTGATACAATTAATAGATTGACTTTTTTGGGATGCAGAGCACTAATAAGTATATAACATAGAATGTCGCCTAAATTTTGATCAGGACCATGTCTAATAAATCAATTTTCCCAGGAAATATTACAATGTATATTCAAAGTTTTGACTAATCTGTGGGAACTGGTTTTTTTTCCCGGTGAATTTAAAATTGATTAATGTGTATAAGCACAAACAGGAAGCAATTGGCAAACCTGTCTGGTCTTGTCAAGATAAAAACACATTTTAATGTTTTGGAAAATTCTGGAAGACTAGCTGCATGTCATGCTTCAAGGTCAGAAGATTCTGGTGTTTTCCATGGTGCCATAGGGACTTGCAAAATGAATAAACAGCAACCACAAAACATTATTCCAGACCATTGTTTACTTTGTTTACAAGAGGTAACCTCACTAGTATTGTGTCAACCAGTACTGGTGTATTTTACTCACAATTCACACCACAAATGGGAAACTTTGACAATAGTGATAAGGTTGGGAGATTTGACACCTTTGCACCAATATTGATATGTAGGGGGATGGTGATATTAATAGTGTTTTATTTACTATGGTAGTTTTGACCAATCAGAGTGGTGATTTTTTAGCGTCTGCATTTAGATTTGCTGATCTTCCTGTTCAGACGCAAATAAAGTGAAGGTTGAATATGTAAGTTATCCATGAAATAATTTCCGTCTACATTATTGATCAGTTTTCATCTTTTCAGAAAGAAATTTCTGATCATGTATGCAAACTGTATTTCATGACATGCAGGTGTCACAAACCCGAACCAGAGGTGGACCACGTTCTCAAATAGCCATTCCGGCTCAAGGTATGATAGAATTTCGGGACTCCTTGACCGATATTCTAGATGAGTTTGGGACGGACGACCACGGTGAGTCGGATGGTACATATCATTTTGTTTCGTGAAGCTGTCTAGTATTCCTGTGCTTTTCTGCTTTTCTATCTCTTTCAGACTGAAAAATGTGTGTTTCTGGTGTAATTCTTTTTGAGTAGTTTATTGAAAATTTGGCCCATAGCTTTAAATCATTCATTGGTGAAAGATTGATGTTTTCAGATAGGGCTTAATAGAATAGATATCTGGTTTTGAAAGAGATATTATTTTTCAAAGTTTCCATCATTGGCCCGAAACACATATTTATCAGGCGTCATCTATATGGTTCACAACTTCACAATTTTCAATTATTTAATAAACATAACAAATTTCATCAGTAAAGTTTTATTCCTTTATTGTCTGGAATTAATTTTCAAAAAAAAAACATTATTTGATGTAAAATTTGTTTGTTGAAATTTTTATTGAATCATCAAAAGAAATTCTTTCTTTGTTTAAAATTCTTTAGATATTAATACAAAAGAATATTGTGAAGTTAAAACCTCTTTCTGATTTGATGATGATACTTTAATACATTGCACTAAATGGTATATTGACTTGCATATTTCACAAGTTTTGATGAAAAATGTATCCTTGTTTCTGTAGGGACTACTATTACCATAATTAGGTAATTTGGTGTTATATTTTCTAATGGATGAAACAGTTTACATTGCTTGTTTTGGGTAACCTCCTTTCTATAGACAGAGCCGTGTGAAGAAGTTGGATTAGAAAGAATACAAAAAACTGGGCTATAATACAATGAAAAAACAACTCCAGAGTAAACTTGAGATCTATTTACATCAAATTTAACGCCCCTTAAATAGGGCTTTCATTTGTAACCAGTTGTCAATAAAACAACTTTTAAACCACATATAGTCCATGGGCTACTGTGGTTATTTTATGAAATAACAGATTAGAAATGGGATTGTCAGATTTCTGCTGAAATAAACTACTTAGAGCTTATTCATTCAATATTTGATCAAAAAAAAGATTAATTGATGTTGCCAAAATACAGACCTTATAGTAGTAAATTAAGGACTGTATTTTGATGGTTTTTTTTTTTAAATCTCTATGCATGTGACAGATTTTGCTCAAAGCCAAAGCCCCAGCTCCATGCAGGCTTTTCTTGTATGCACCAAGACATGTTGATGTGCACATTTAAGCATTGGTATGGCTTTGTTTGTGACTAGCAGCCAAACTTGCTTGCTTTTAGTTTTCTATGGTATATGATAAAATATATTTTGAACAGCCAGATTTTTTCAGTTCTTTAAGTATTACCAGGATTTTTTTTTTTCAAAGCAAGCTCTTCTAGTATTGAAATCTCACAACCATTTTTCACCATCATGAGAAGGTGGGCTGTTCAAATTGCACAACCTCTGACGTTTGGTGTTTTTTCCCTTTATACTTAACAGCAGTCCATATCTTATAAAATGGGATGATGGAAGATTTTCTGAAAAGTTATGAAAATAACGCATATTGGCTTCGGGAAATAGCATTTTTCGACTTTAAAACAGGAAAAAAATACTGCTGTCAATCCTGAAACGATTCTTATCACTATTTCTTGAAAAGTTTGATATGTAATGTCCTCAAACTTTTATATGTTGGTTATTGATATTCTCTAGTGGTGACTGATTGGTAAGATAGACCAGCCTAAATACAACCACCTTAGATTTAAAAAGGATTTATGAATAGAGCCAATGCCGTTTGTGCTGGTTTGGTGGGTCGTGGGTTCCTTTACTCGTCAGCTAGATACCTGAGAGAATGCAGCGTGATTGAGCTGTCAGAAAAATCAAGTGAGGGATATCAATCACTGTAGCATCAGAGAGAGTTCTTTAGATTTATTACTAACTGTCAACCAGTTTCGTCCTCTCCGGGCATCCTGATAAAGCCCGGATAGAACTAAACCGGTTGATAGTGAGTGATTTATCAGGACGCCCGGACGGGGCGAAACTGGTTGACGGTTAGTAATGAATTGAAAGAACTAACTCTGCTACTGCTGTGATTGGTATACCTTACATCTTTGATTTTCATACATGTAGTAATAGATTATCACTATTTCTGGAGAAGTTCCAGATGGATTACTTACAGATCTCGTGTATGTAGGTTTGATTTCCGGTGGGCCCTAGTTATGCAAACAATTCCATTTAAGGAGTTATCAGGGGAGAAAAGGGTAAAAAGTGGCCATCTTGGATTTTGACAGTGATGATTGTTATTGCTATGTCTAAAGCACCAGATGGATCATTCTGAAATTTCACATGTAGGTTATCTCTTTGTTTCATCAGTTGATATCAACCATTGTCTACTGATCAGGAAAACAAAATGGCCAATGTGATCTTGTTTTCAAACAGAAATAAAACATATTCAGATATATATCTATGTTCTAAAATGATATATAATAGTGTTTTTTTATGTGTATTTGACGTCTTGACAATCAAACAGACAGTTGCCTGCTCACTCAGTACTGTTCTTCTGGATCTTTTGGTTATTTATAACCAATCAAATCCAGAGTACTGTAACAATTATACATTTTGTATGTTTAATGTATATATTGTTGGTGACAGTAATTTTATGATTTCATTTTTTATATCTTCAAGGATTAATCACCCTAGACCTGAGAACATGTGCTAAACATTGAGATCAGTGTTATCTAATAGCCCTCCCCTCATCCTCCCCGATTGTCACAAGTTGCTCTGTTTTCACAAAAAATATCCTTTCTCATTGTATATTGTTAAGTTGATATCTCAACACAGTAGGGAGTGTTTTTTAAAAGTTTTTGATCTTGGGAAATATTTATTTTGAGTTTGTGTAAATTGAATTCAAATCTATTATGGCATTTCTGTAGCTTTTTACTTTCAAGAATTCTTTTATTGGATTGGTTTGTAGAAGGACAGAGTGAACTACCTGATAGCAAGTACTTGAGAGTGGAAAACAAAGTGTTTTACTTTGACGTAGGGTCAAATCGTCGAGGGGTTTACCTGAGAGTATCAGAGGTAAGTATGACATGTACATGTAAGCTGCTCTGAATGTAAGTTTGAAAATGTCTTCTTTTTTTTATGGGCCCCACCATCATCAAATGGTGGGCTATTCAAATTGCCCTAAATCCATCGTCTATCTGTAACAATTTTTGTTGTCGTTATTCCTTGAATGGATATCTCTCAGATTTCATTTGTGAATTCCTTTTGGTCTTCAGTTGTGCCCAGTTGATTTTGGGTCTGATCAAAAAAACAAAATGGCCAACAGATGACCATCTTGGATTTTGAGTTTGAAAATTGCTATCGCTATTTCTTTAAATATTTTGAACGGATCTTTCTTGAATTTCATATGTAGGATCTGTTTGATCCCTAGTTATGCCTGTTTGATTTTGGGACAGATATAAAAAAAAAAAGTGGCCAACAGGTGGCCATCTTCGACTTTGACTGAGAATGTTCGTTATTGCTCTTGAGAACTATAGCATAGATCTCTCTAAGCTGCATGTGTATGTTTTCCTTGACCCCCAGTTGTGCCTGTTAGATTTCGGTATTGATCAGAAAAAGAAAATGGCCAATAGGCTGCTATCTTGGATTTTGATTTTGAATGTTTGTTATTGCTATTTCTTGAGCTATACTGCATAGATCTTTCTCAAATTTCAGGTATAGATTCCTCTTTAATCTTAGTTGTGCCTGTTTGAATATGGGACTGATGAGAAAAACAAAATGGCCGACAGGCAGCTATCTTGGATTTCACCTGATAAAGATTGTTATCCCTATTTCTTTAGAAGTACTGAATGGATCTCTCTCAAATTTCATACTTATGTTCTTTGGTCTGTACATGTGCTCATTTGATTTTGGGACTGATCAGGAAAATCAAAATGTCTTCCAGGCAGCCATCTTAGATTTGGCAGGTAAAGATTATCTTGCTATGTCTTCAAAGGAGTGTTCAAATTTCTTATCACTAAGAGCAGAAACAGAGAATGACATGATGCAAGTCACATACAGCAAATTCTCTAGGTGTCATCCTCACTGATATAGATATCTTTTTCAGTATATATAAGTACCCTATTTAAACATGGCCACTTTTATAATATTTTGAAAACAGACTGGCCCATACTAATCATTGTGTGATGTTGTAAACATGTTATCATATGTTGATATGAATCTAATAACACTGAAGAATGAAGTTTTTTGTTACTGCCCTTTCACAGGTTCGCACAAATTATCGCACCGCCATCACCATTCCTGAAAGGTCATGGGGCAGGTTTCGTGATATGTTGTCAGAATATGCCGACCGGCCTGGGTCCAGTGCCAAGGGAGACAACAACAGCCAGTAAACAAAAGGAGAAACAGAGGGAATGTGCTTTGTGATGAGGGTTGTTTTAGGATTGATACAAACGCATGGGTGATGCAGTTAAGGAAATATTCTGATTCCGAGTCAAGCAGGCTATAGTGTGATCTACAGCGAAAAACACAGCTCCTGAGACTTAAATATCGCTGTATACGCAGTGCTCCGCGAGGGCTGACCGAAGAATCATTGAGTGCATGATAATGTGTTCAAGTTGCAAAGAAATTGGTCATGACACAATCGGGAGAAAATGTCCAGATTTGTCATCGACAAGAACCCATGGCCAAAGCAGTGATGAACATGTCTTTATATAGTCTTTCAATGTTTTAGTATGATTGAAAATCTAATATTTCAAAAAGAAAAAGAACAGTCGACTTGCTGTACAAAGGCATTTTAATTGCATTACAAAAAATTGAGATGCTTTTGTTTAAGCAGAATGCAATGAATGATTGTATGAATTCAGATGTTTTTTTTTCATATGAATTGTACACAAACTTTGTACGGTGATATTTAACAAGGTACATTCATGCAGCCATATCATTTTCCCTTTAGTTTTGTGTTTCTAAGACAAGCTATCATGAAGCACATTTCCTTCGTTTGCTAATAACACGTAAAGCAAGTCTATAGGAGCGGCGCTATTTGACGGCCGTAAGATAGTGCTCCTAGGTAGACCGCAGTCTGTACAGTATGTCACTTCATCGTCTTTGTGGAAAGTTTTCCGTGATTGTGTATAAATGATAGAACATGACGTGGTGTGGGATTAGCCTGTGTTTTTGGTGGTGTCGCCAGTGTCGCCAGTAGGGGAATTGTAGCTTTATGTTTACTTGGTATTGGGATGTGACATCAGGTTTAATGCTTACAATTATATATATATATTTAATGAAAGGGAAAAGCACATGCATGTTTGTTACCAGTTAGACAGCAATGGTTTTGGATACTCGAGTCCATATTTTGCAAGGTTTTGCACATGTGTAGGAAGTCAGCTTGTAAATTAAATCCAGGCATCAAAAACCAGTGAAACTAGCTAATCTTATCATAACAAGCTTGTATCAATGATCGCATTACCATTCCAAACACCACCTGTGGCATTGAGGACTCGTCCATGATGGCATGATGACAACAGTCCGATACCAGGAGACCTGGACTGGATAGTTTAAATACATTGTTAATGTGTAGTTGTGGCATGGGGATATGGCATTCTGGGAGCTGGCGGCAGCAGGGCATCAGGTAGGCAAGTCTGATCTATCAGAGAGTCTGTTGGGTAGTGTGGTTATGTGGTATGTTTTGGTGAAGCAGGACAAGGTTTTAAGTTAGCCGTTATGGGCTAGGGTCATTTTTACTCCTCCCCCACCCCCAGAACAGCTAGCAACATTGGAAAAGCAATGTGACTTCTTCTGATAAAAGTGCTTGTTTTTATTTTGAATATTCTTTAAAGCAAATCAGAGATGCTTTTTTAACTCAAAGTGACAGCTGAAAATGTGTTTTTTATTACCAATTGGCGATTAAGATGACATCATTTTATATGACAATATTTTGTATACATTGTATAAATTTATATAAAACAAAAAGAAGTTCATTGTTTAGACCACTAATGAAATTGATATTAATATAAATCATGTGATCATACACACACACATACATAGGAATGATGTGAGAAATAGCTGTTGTCAAGCTTGCAAGTATTCCACTACCGATATTCTTGTATCGGGACTTAGTGTGAAGGGGAGGTAAGTCTAGCGTGCTACATTGTGATATTACATACATGAAATGTGTGCAGCCATTTGCTGCTTAAAACCTTGTGTCAGACCTTGTCACAATGTGTCAGTGTTTTGTGTTAAAACTCTTACCCATATCTTTGACATTGTGATCAAGGAGATTCATTGATTACAAATTGTGTAATATGATTATAAATTTTGAGGATATCTTTTTAGCTTACTGTCTTAACATTTCTGTTTTCGATTAGGTATGGAGTCTGTACCGTGTATTAATGTTCTAGCTAAAAAGTAGTCACCCATTGGTAAATTGATTAGATTCTTTTTGGACTGATTTTGATCTAATATATATAGATAAATATATATATATATATTTAGGGTTTGGTGTCATATTATTTAAGCACAGCAGTACATGTCGGGAGTATGTTTTAAATGGACAAAAGTTGCTGATGTTGCCTTGTTAGTCACATATTATAGGCTGGTATTTATTTTGATCCTCTTGAAGACTTGTTGACTCTTAAATTTGTTATTATCAGTGTTGGTTCTGTTCTCTCTTTTCTTGCTATGGTTAGTTTGTGCCACATCACAAGGTGTGGCCCATCATAAAGCTGTGGTCAGTTGGTGCCACATCACAAGGTGTGGCCCATCATAAAGCAGTGGTCAGCTGGTGCCACATCACATGGTGTGGTCTATCATAAAGCTGTGGTCAGTTGGTGCCACATCACAAGGTGTGGCCCATCATAAAGCAGTGGTCAGCTGGTGCCACATCACATGGTGTGGTCTATCATAAAGCTGTGGTCAGTTGGTGCCACATCACAAGGTGTGGCCCATCATAAAGCTGTGGTCAGTTGGTGCCACATCACAAGGTGTGGCCAATCATAAATCTATGATTAGTTTGTGCCACATCACATGGTGCAGCCTATCATAAAGCTGTGGTCAGCTGGTGCCACATCACAAGGTGTGGCCCATCATAAAGCTATGATTAGTTTGTGCCACATCACATGGTGCAGCCTATCATAAAGCTGTGGTCAGTTGGTGCCACATCACAAGGTGTGGCCAATCATAAAGCAGTGGTTAGTTGGTGCCACATCACAAGGTGTGGCCAATCATAAAGCTGTGGTTAGTTGGTGCCACATCACAAGGTGTGGCCAATCATAAAGCAGTGATTAGTTTGTGCCACATCACAAGGTGTGGTCTATCATAAAGCTGTGGTTAGTTAGTGCAACATCACAAGGTGTGGTCTATCATAAAGCTGTGGTTAGTTAGTGCCACATCACAAGGTGTGGCCTATCATAAAGCTGTGGTTATTTTGTGCCACATCCCATGATGTTGCCTATCATAAAGCTGTGGTGAGTTGGTGCTGCATCACAAGGTGTGGCCAATCATAAAGCTGTGATTAGTTGGTACCACGTCATGATGGTGTGGCCATTCACATAGCTATGGTAAGTCCCGCATCATGTGGCTATATTTTAGTCTGTGCCACATCGTAAGGATGTAGTCTTCTACGTTTTAGATATGAATAGTTGGTGCCGTGTCGTGAGGGTTCAAGCTTAGATTGTCCGTTTTTAATGGTTACTCTGTTAATGAAGTAGTTTTATTGCAGTCAGCTGAATGGTTATGAAGTGCTATTGTCAATTATTGCTTTATAGATACCTTATTACTGTGAAAATGTACATTTCAGTGGTATTAAAATGTTGGCACTTATACAAGGAAGATAATAATATTAATATTACTGCATTGATAACATTCTGGTGCAAAGATTCACGATTGTGCTAACCTGATAAATTGGCCTGTAATGTTAATTCCCTTAAAATGTGTGGTTTTACAGTATATGATATACAAGTGTAGGACTAAGGAGGTTTTGATTCGTCGTTATCAACACAGCTTTTAAGATGGAACAAGTTTAGAAAATCTAACTAGCATTGTGATCTCAATATCTTCTCTGACACCTTTGTTGATTTTAAAAAAAGCTTAAAAACCAGGCAAATGCTTTCATGTAAAACATTACAAATAAGAGTCAAAATGATTGCTTAAGAGTTGGGCTCAGAGAAGATTGAGAGGGAAAGAATGCTACATTGTACTTACAGGACAAGTCCGGAATGTTCTTGTATGGAAAGTTTTAAAATCTTTTCATAGAAAAAGGAATTTTTTTTATTTGATAATTTTAAGAGCTATATTTATGTTATTATATTTGTTTTGAAACAGTTATAACTTTGTACTGATCATTCTGGGGCAACACGCAATATGTTGACTTTCAATTTTTTATAGTAAATCCAACTGTAGCTGTATACATTTCTTTAGTTGTGGAGTCATAGACATCTTCTATCTGTACGAGTTACCTCCCCTCTTTTATTTTGCCTGCTACATTTATCAACCGGAACCAAGTACACCTATGAAAGCATTTCATAAATGTAAGACAGTTTTGTAAAAAGCTTTTTTCAAGGATGTTTATTAAAATTAAGTGAGAAAAAACATCATTATTCTTGTTACGAAACTTGTTTAAGAGGTAGTGAGCTTGTACAGCTGGAAGATCTAAGGTCATCTGCAAATGGTGAATTTCGAAATTTAAGCCAATTCTTATACCTACACATTTTGTTTAACAACATTCATCATAATGCATTTCACATTGTCCGATTTGAATGCATGCGTAAGCTGCATGCTTTTTTTTTTGTTTCTATAGTCTCCTTATTTTTATGTTGTTATTATGTGTCTCGAGAGATTGTTACATTACACTACATACTAGTGCTATCGGATCATTTGTTTTCTCTTTTGAATTCTAAACTGAAAGATGCAAATTGTCCAACAACTTGATACAACTCATGAAATAACCAGAACAACTGCTTAGGTCTGGATTTTTTGAGAAAATAGTTCGTAATTGGGTTTTGATGCTGGTAACCAAATGGGTTATCCTATTTGAAAGTTTTTATAATGCAGTTTTCTGTTCTCAGTTTAAAGATTCAAAATTACATTTTTTTTTTTTTTTCATTATCCAGTAAAATTCATATGTTTTAAGTGCTTAGTATTACGGTTTTTTTTATCCAATGAATGATTTCATTTTTTTCATTTCACAGGAAATCTCAAAACACATTGTTTTGAAATAAAATTAAGAAATAGAATTTGTTCTAATTTTGAAAAATCTAAAGCTATTTTTTCAAGAGACTAGATCTAGTGGGTTTCGAGCATCAATATAGGAGGGAAAGGAAAAGATTAATTTGACTGAGGCCTTATTATTCCATTTTTATTCACACTAATCTTGGCTCTATCGTCACTTCATTTCCTGTTCATAATAATTTTTACTGATGTTTTTAACTACCGGCCTCAGGGTCTGGTGATATTTGTTTTAAAATAAAAGCACATGTATTAAACACATGAAATTATGTTGGTGACTGGCATGGATAGAATATTTCAGAAAGAAAAAGTGAAAAGTTGACATGAAAATGGTTATAAAAGTAGAAAAGAAGGCATAGGTGAAATATTTAGAATTGTCACAGTTCAAGTATTTCTCAAATATTTGAAAGCAGGCAAAGGTAAAACTGTTTTAAATGCTGAATTGGAACCTTCTTAACACAGAAAAACTGAAAGTTCTTAAGGACTAAATCCTCTTAATGGGGAAAGTAATATGAATTACCAAGACATCAAAAATAGACTAGTATTTCTTTAAAGAATATTAAACGATTGCATGACTGAAAGGTTTAAAAAACAATTTTTCAGCTCACCGTATAAGAATTCTAGAGAGGATTTCTATATTTGGAATTAATTAAATTCGACAAAATGTATCACACAGAAATTGTGTTTGTGATGACAGTAAAATTATTCTGAAAAGTGTGCAAGGTTTTAAATAGTTTTCTCAAAAATATCGGTAGCTGGCAGGGATGGAGTAATTTTTACAGAAATATCATTTGCTAGGAAGGATGAAATATTTCTCTCAGAAATAACTTTTAGTTGGCCGGGTTGAAATATTCCTATCATGAATATCAATAGCTGATAAGGATGAAATATCTCTCAGAAATATCAATAGCTGGCAAGGATGAAATATTTCTCTCGGAAAAGTCAATAGTGGACGAGGATAAATATTTGTCTCAGAAATTATCAATAGCTAGCAAGGTTGAAATATTTTTTCTCAGAAATATCAGTCGCTGATTCAGAAATATGAATTCAAAGTAGGTTGAGAGAGAAGTGTTAAAATTTTAACACTGCCAACGCAATGATTTGTTTGAGTTGTTTTGGCTAAAGAGCCTGTTATTATATAGCGTATTAGTAATTTATTAACTGCTGCATAGATGCTGTATGTGTATAGGTATATATGCACTCAGGTATAGTGTGAGGGTGTGTACAAAACCTGTGTACTTTTTTTTTATCATTAAAAAATGTTAGGGAGGACTGTCAAATGGCAACACTGTTATGATAGATACAGTGGCCATTATAGTTCTATGATGAGTTGTAACTACACAACAACTTAACAGGTATGAATTACCATCTCAAGCATTAGTATATAATAACAATAAAACCATGCCATTACCCAGCATTTCCATTTATACACAGACTTTATGAATGTTAAAAACCATAACTTTTTCATTATCCCCGTCTCACCATGTAGAATAATATTTTTCTTTTTTCTGTTGCGTTAATTTTTCGTCTATACTTGACACTACCGTCCATAGGTTTTGATCTATTTCCCTTTTTCGCTGTATTTCAATATACTTTTTTCATCATTCATTTTCAGCCTTGGCTTTCAATGTGATATCCTTGTTGCAGTATTTTATGCAGAGAAGGGTATCTGTTGACAATTTGTGAATACCTTCTATTCAAAGGTATCCTGTTGGTCAACTTCTTGGAATATTGTAACTTTCAGTTTTTCAATTGATGGGGAAATCTATTATTAAGTACTGAAATAAGGATTTGGTAATCGAGAAATCCTTTTCAGTATTGGTTTTTTCTTACAGCAGTTTATAGTTGTTGGGTACTTATTGTTAAGATGTTTATTTCTAATCTACGCCTGTCCCCAATAAGAGCAAAAGTTGATGCCATGCATAGTATCCTTGAGACTATTTTTTTAAATACTAGAGAAAAAAAAATGTAGAAAAAATGTTATCATACTGAAACTCTTACTATCATGTACAGTACATTGAATAGAACAATCAAAGAGATGTTCTCAACTTTGTTGTGTAAGTATTAAAATTCATCATGTTTCATCAGTGTTTTTGTTTTCATTCTATTGCCCAACATATCAATGGATCGAGTGCCTACAATGATTTTTGGTGGTAAGTTTGCCATTGTTTTTTACATAAACGTATCAAAAATTTGACGAGATGATGATTGGATGGTGTTGCTTTTCTGTTCATCTGTCCATCCATTTGTCCATTGTCAGTTTTTATTTGTCTAGAGATCCCCCATCCCCCCACCAAACTGTCTTTAGCAAAGTTGGTAAGTTTGGTCACAACGACACAAAGTTGTGTTTTCCCACGACTATTCGTAGTCTGCGGTTTTCATGAATAGCAGTTTGAGTTGACTGTATTTGGAAGAGTTTCTGCACTTTCCTTTTGTACTGTTAATCTTGTCTAAAGATCTCTCCTCTCAGTTTTCATCTGATTTCTTAGATATTTAGTGGACTTAAGCAACAAGCTGTCAAGTTGTGTTTCCCTTTACAGCAGTATGATTCAACATTTTTCAAGGAGTTATTGCCATTTGGTCGTTTTTTTAGTATTTTGATATATAAATATTACCTGAAACTTCGTTTTCCTTAATAGTATTGTCATTTTTTGATATTGGGAAGGAGTTTTGCTGGGGTTTTGTCCCCCAGTTTTTTGTTATTTTGTATACAAATGTATATCAATCTCACCTCTCACTTTTTAACCAATTTCTTTGGAACTTGGTAGTCTTTAAAACCACGACTTGGTATGCTTTAAAACCACAACATGACATTATATTCTGGGGAACCGCATTTTGATTCATTTTGGTCCTTTCAGCATTTTCATCTTGTCCAGAGATTTCAGTTTGCCCCTATCTCTTATACATTTGGTGTAAGTTAATAGGTCATCATTGAAATATATAGCACTGTTTCCCCTCTTGACATCTTGACTCATTTTTACCATTCCTATACTTGTATACTCTTTGTTACAGTGAATTTTTGAATAATTTTTCCTAGGTCATCGGTATTGAATAGCACATTGAAAATCCCATGCATCCTACCATCTTTAATTTCTAAGTTTCAACAAACATTTGGTCAATATTCCTTTTTTAAAAAAATCCACCAAAATTGTATGATCATCAAATCAGGGTGACATGAAAAAACATTAAAAAGGACGAAAAACAAATACGTAATCAGGTGTAATTAACAGGGTATTTGATAGTGTTTTCAAATTTACAAATATAGTTCACTGGTGTAGCTTATATAGTGGTTTCTGAATTCATGCTGTCAGGTCATAAAAACAACCCATGCAATCCAATCAGTGTTCATTGTAGGGGCTAGGATAAAATGTGTATATTCATAAACCAGACGCAGACGACGGTGTAGAAGGGCTGGGATGATATTTGTTTAAAAACCGGACACCTGAAGTGTAGCATGGGCGGAGCAATATATATTTATAAACTGGACCCAGGTGCCAGTGTAATAAGGGTAGGGAAAATATATATTTTGAAATTAGGTGCAAGCATCATTGTAGTATGGATGGGACAATACATACTTATAAACTGAACACATTCGTCCGTGCAGTATTGGTGGGGTGGTATATTTCTATAAACTGGAGACAGCCATCTGTGCAGTATTTGTGGGGTGGTATATTTCTATAAACTGGACACAGCCGTCTGTGCAGTATTGGTGGGGCGATATATTTCTATAAACTTGACACAGCCGTCTGTGCAGTATTGGTGGGGCGATATATTTCTACAAACTGGACACAGCCGTCTGTGCAGTATTGGTGGGGTGGTATATTTCTATAAACTAGACGCAGCCGTCCGTGCAGTATTGGTGGGGCGGTATATTTCTATAAACTGAACACAGCCGTCTGTGCAGTATGGTTGGGACGATATATTTCTATAAACCAGACACAGGCGTCAGTATAGTACTTATTTGGCTGTACATATTTATAAACCAGATGCAGGTGTCAATGTGTGGTTGGGACAATATATACTGAACACACAGGCAGCAATGTGCATATTGTAAATGTTTGAGTGATTGCACATGTATTTGGGTTTTTTGTTACTTCATTTGTCACAAGGTTTAAATACATTGACAGAGAGAAGGAAATTAGCACACTCCATACATCATCATGATACATATTTACATTACATGGTCCATCATGACAGAGGTAACACATGGTATATAGAGTCACCATCATCATCCAATGATGTTACATACACCATCTGCAGGAAAACAGTTCTGATATAAATACTAACAGAACTTTAAAGAAAGGGTAACAGCAATATTGACAGTTGTAGGAAACGCACACATTCATAGTTGTTTCTTTTGAAAAACAAGATGTGTTTATGAAAAACTAAAAAAAAAAAGCCCTCCTTACCCTCTTGCAACAAAATTCTGAAAAGGGATATTAGAAATGTAATATGTAAGACATGTGCTAATTGTATGCACACTTTATGAAACACTCATGTCATCACTTGGGTAATGATTTTTTTTCACTTTAAAATGTAGGTCATAGGCCACTGACACATGTCACGTGGTCAAATATGTTGGTACCACCGGAAAGGTCTTGTCACAAGGAACACACAGGGCAAATATGATAGCCATATCTCTTATGATGCAATAATTATGGCAAGTGTTATTTCATGTAGGTTAACTTCCACGGTCCAGGTCACGTGGTAAAACAATGGTAACATTGTGAAGGTCTTGTCTCTAGGAACACACATGCCAAATATAATAGCCCTATTTCTTATTGTGCAATCGTTATGGACAAGGATAAAGTTGACAAAAGATAGCATCAAAACAAAATTCTTCTGATCTTCCGATCCGGAGGCATAAAATACAATTTCAAATTACTTTGATTAAAAAAAAAAAAAAAAACCCGGAGTTTTTACATCTCATCCTCGGATGTGGCATACAGCTGTAAACGAGCTTTTATTATTCTACCGTGTTTTGTTGAATTCGTTATCTACAATACTGTCAATATGGCTATCTGACAGGATATTAACGCTTTATCAATCGGTGTTGATAAAAAAATAATTTAAATGTCGCATACAGGAAGTGACGACACCGAGATACCAAGAAATATGAAAGCGAAAGTAGAAACCCAGGTCTCTGAACAAGAATAACCCAGCTGTGTTTCTTCAGAACAGGTTTGTATTGTGAATTTACTATTTTTATCGTATACATGACTATCTATTAGCTTTGATTACAATGTTTTATCCTCACCAGATAGATTTACCTTTCAAGTACACACAATGCAACATGTAGGCAGGGAACTTCTGACTAGCACAAGCAGCTGCATCTGGAACGTAAACAATACAAGCCGAAAAAAATTCCAGACCAGTATAGCGTCATTCCTTGTGTTACTGGTAGTCTGCCCCATTGGCCAAACTGTACAAGTTTGTACACACAGAATTATACTTTAACATTTGTATATTGAAATTTAAAATTTCATCATCTTTATCTCCATGACTTGTGTACAATTATAGACTACAAGGTACAGCTAGGTCTGTACTGTTTTCTGTTCAGTCTCAATTTGTAAATCTAAATCAAGATAACTTAAGGAGCGGGTCAAAGAGGAGTAGGTTACTGATAATTTCTGTGTGAGGTTACAGGAGGATAGCTAGATAATGGTGGAGTCTGTCACATATAATTAGAAGAGAATGTCAATAATGATTAATAGTGGAGGAGGCATCAGAAAATTAGCTGGGGTGGTTACAGATAATAAGTGGAGAAGGTCACAGATAATTAGTGGAGAAGGTCACAGATTATTAGTGGAGAAGGTCACAGTTAATTAGTGGAGTAGGTCACAGATAATTAAGTGGAGTAGGTCACAGATAATTAGTGGAGTAGGTCACAGATAATTAGTGGAGTAGGTCACAGATAATTAGTGGAGTAGGTCACAGATAATTAGTGGAGAAGGTCACAGATAATTAGTGGAGTAGGTCACAGATAATTAGTGGAGAAGGTCACAGATAATTAGTGGAGAAGGTCACAGATAATTAGTGGAGAAGGTCACAGATAATTAGTGGAGAAGGTCACAGATAATTAGTGGAGAAGGTCACAGATAATTAGTGGAGAAGGTCACAGATAATTAGTGGAGTAGGTCACAGATAATTAGTGGAGAAGGTCACAGATAATTAGTGGAGAAGGTCACAGATAATTAGTGGAGAAGGTCACAGATAATTAGTGGAGAAGGTCACAGATAATTAGTGGAGTATGTCACAGATAATTAGTGGAGTAGGTCACAGATAATTAGTGGAGTAGGTCACAGATAATTAGTGGAGAAGGTCACAGATAATTAGTGGAGAAGGTCACAGATAATTAGTGGAGAATAATGATTAATAGGTCACAGATAATTAGTGGAGAAGATAATTAGTGGAGTAGGTCACAGATAATTAGTGGAGAAGGTCACAGATAATTAGTGGAGGAGGTCACAGATAATTAGTGGAGAAGGTCACAGATAATTAGTGGAGTTCACAGATAATTAGTGAGAAGGTCACAGATAATTAGTGAAGAGGATAGGTCACAGATAAGTTATAGTGTAGTAGGTCACAGAATTAGTAGAAGAGGATCACAGATAATTAGTGGAGAAGGTCACAGAAAATTAGCTGGGGAGGTTACAGATAATTAGTGGAGAAGGTCACAGATAATTAGTGGAGAAGGTCACAGATAATTAGTGGAGAAGGTCACAGATAATTAGTGGAGAAGGTCACAGATAATTAGTGGAGGAGGTCACAGATAATTAGTGGAGAAGGTCACAGATAATTAGTGGAGAAGGTCACAGATAATTAGTGGAGAAAGTCACAGATAATTAGTGGAGAAAGTCACAGATAATTAGTGGAGTATGTCACAGATAATTAGTGGAGAAGGTCACAGATAATTAGTGGAGAAAGTCACAGATAATTAGTGGAGTATGTCACAGATAATTAGTGGAGAAGAAGATAATTAGTCACAGATAATTAGTGGAGAAGGTCACAGATAATTAGTGGAGAAGGTCACAGATAATTAAGTGGATAATTAGTGGAGAAGGTCACAGATAATTAGTGGAGAAGGTCACAGATAATTAGTGGAGAAGGTCACAGATAATTAGTGGAGTAGGTCACAGATAATAAGTGGAGTAGGTCACAGATAATTAGTGGAGAAGGTCACAGATAATTAGTGGAGAAGGTCACAGATAATTAGTGGAGAAGGTCACAGATAATTAGTGGAGAAGGTCACAGATAATTAGTGGAGAAGGTCACAGATAATTAGTGGAGAAGGATCATTAGTGGAGAAGGTCAGAGAAGGTCAACAGATAATTAGTGGAGTAGGTCACAGATAATTAGTGGAGAAGGTCACAGATAATTAGTCACAGATAATTAGTGGAGAAGGTCACAGATAATTAGTGGAGTAGGACACAGATACTTAGTCGAGAAGGTCACAGATAATTAGTGGAGAAGGTCACAGATAATTAGTGGAGAAGGTCACAGATAATTAGATAATTAGGAGAAGGTCACAGATAGTGGAGAAGGTCACAGATAATTAGTGGAGAAGGTCACAGATAATTAGTGGAGAAGGTCACAGATAATTAGTGGAGAAGGTCACAGATAATTAGTGGAGAAGGTCACAGATAATTAGTGGAGAAGGTCACAGATAATTAGTGGAGAAGGTCACAGATAATTAGTGGAGAAGGTCACAGATAATTAGTGGAGAAGGTCACAGATAATTAGTGGAGTAGGTCACAGATAATTAGTGGAGAAGGTCACAGATAATTAGTGGAGAAGGTCACAGATAATTAGTGGAGAAGGTCACAGATAATTAGTGGAGAAGGTCACAGATAATTAGTGGAGAAGGTCACAGATAATTAGTGGAGAAGGTCACAGATAATTAGTGGAGAAGGTCACAGATAATTAGTGGAGAAGGTCACAGATAATTAGTGGAGAAGGTCACAGTTAATTAGTGAAGAAGGATAGCTAAGTTATAGTGTAGTCTGTCACTTAAGAGTAGAAGAGGATGTCAATAATGATTAATAGTGGAGGAGGCATCAGAAAATTAGCAGAGGAGGTTACAGATAATAAGTGGAGAAGGTCACAGATAATTAGTGGAGAAGGTCACAGATAATTAGTGGAGAAGGTCACAGATAATTAGTGGAGAAGGTCACAGATAATTAGTGAAGAAGGTCACAGATTATTAGTGGAGAAGGTCACAGATAATTAGTGGAGAAGGTCACAGATAATTAGTGGAGTAGGTCACAGATAATTAGTGGAGAAGGTCACAGATAATTAGTGGAGAAGGTCACAGATAATTAGTGAAGAAGGTCACAGATTATTAGTGGAGAAGGTCACAGATAATTAGTGGAGAAGGTCACAGATAATTAGTGGAGAAGGTCACAGATAATTAGTGGAGGAGGTCACAGATAATTAGTGGAGAAGGTCACAGATAATTAGTGGAGAAGGTCACAGATAATTAGTGGAGAAGGTCACAGATAATTAGTGGAGGAGGTCACAGATAATTAGTGGAGAAGGTCACAGATAATTAGTGGAGAATGTCACAAATAATTAGTGGATTATGTCACATGAATTTATCCGGAGAGGTTATTGATAATTCATGAAGTCTGAAACCACAGATAATTGTTGATTGTGGTCGCATATAATTAGTGTAGAATGTCCATGTAAGCAGAGAAGGTGACAGATAATCAGTGGAGAAATGAAGACAGATAATTATCGTAGGAGGTATTGGATACATTGTAATTACTGGAAAAGGTCTTCATCTGTTGTTTGCCATGAGAGAGAGAATGATTTTTGGTTACTTTATATATCACATATATCACTGATATCTAGTTTTGGCAAATTTTAGCCCACCTTCTGACTCTAATGGCTCTACGTCCATTGTCCATGGTCCATGGTCCATCTGTCCCTCTGTAAACAATTTTTGTTATCACTATTTCTTGAGAGGATCTTTCTCAAAATATACATAGAGATTCCCCTTAGTCCCTGGTTGTGCCCGTATGATTTTAGGACTGATCTGGAAAAAAATGGCTAGCAGGCGGCCTTCTTGGATTTTTTCTATGAAGATTGTTATCATTATTTCTTGAAAAGCACTTGATGGATCTGTTTCAAATTTCAAATGTAGTTCCCCCATGGTATCTAGTTGTGCCCATGTAATTTTGGGACTGATCAGAAACACAAAATGGCAGACAAATGGCCATCTTGGATTTTGACTTTGAAAGTTTGTTATTGCTTTATCTTGAGAAATACTTGATGAATCTTTCATAAATTTCATAGGTATGTTTTCCTTGGTCCCTTGTTATGCCTATTTGACTTTTAATACTGATAAAAAAAAAAAAAAAAATAGCTGACAGTTGGCCATCTTGGATTTTGACTTTGAAAGTATGCTATTGCTACTTCTTGAGAAACACTGCATAGATCTTTCTCAAATTCCATGTGTAGATTCCTCTTTAACCTTATTTGTGCCTGTTTGAATAAGGGACTGTTCAGAAAAAATTAAGTTGCCAACAGGCAGCTATATTGGATTTCAGCTGGTAAATATTGTTCCATTTGGTCCCGACCTAAGCCCATTTGATTTTCAGACTGATCAAAAAAACAAAATGGCTTCCAGGTGACCATCTTGGATTTGGCAGGTAAAGATATCGTCACTATTTCTGGAAAGGAATGTTTAAATTTATTATCATTAAGAGCAACAACAGAGGAGAGCAGAGGAATGTGGGAAAAGATCCAGCTTTTAATGAGCAAATAAAGATCAAACAATTGTGGGTGCCAAGATCCCTCTGGGATCTCTTGTATTACAAAACATCATGACATTTCAGTTACATAAAAACCCTTTCATCCCAAATCCAAACTTTAAGACAGTGCTTCTGAAAGGCTCTAATGAATAAATAAGGGGTGAAAGGGCTACCTTGTACACATCAACAGGACCAGAAGAAATTTCACTTGAACAAATGCAAAACAATCTGAAATTTTTACACAAAAACACTATACAGCATCTTTCACTCATGCATACAAATTATAGCTATTTAACAGAACATTGGTTAGTATTAGAAAATTGCATATTTTGTATTTACACGTGCATAACATATCACAAACAAGCAACCAATAGGTGTATTAAATTTACTGCCACTTAATCTAACCAAGATCCTGTCTGTCTAGGGTCAAAATTCAAATTGAAAATGGAATTCAAACATGACATGATAAGACATACCCATGGGCTGCCTTTGTAAATTTGAAGGGTCAAACCCTCACAATTGGTCAGAAGGTGAGTTGTACTCGCAAACAAATGTAAGTGACATTGACTGCCTACTTAACATGAGACTCTGTGACCTAATTACACATTTTAGAACAATTGTTCAAAGTTTGTGCTTAAATTCTGCATTTCAGTTTACAACATGGGAATAGGTATGTCTAATTCTGAGAAAAAGTCAACAAAAAACTCAGAAATCTTTCAGGCTGCAAATTGTGCCGTTGACAAAATCACAAAAACACAGGTATGTATATACATGAGTTATTTGTAACAGATTACATTGGCAAGTGCAAATTCCACCATTTGAATTACAAAAATAAAAGATCTCATTTCATCAGTGCCATATCAGTCATTGAAATCAAAAATAAAAGATCTTTAATATCTGAATTGAAAATTTACAAGTCTAGATAATAGTTGTGATATGATTGTGTGACAAAAATAGTGAAAATTAGACACTGCATGGTAAATCGGGTTTATGTCTCGTATAGAAGTACTGAAAACAATCACATGTATATCATTTTCATGAATCAATGTGAATTAAGTGTTGTTAAAATTATATCTGTAAATATAAATCAGGTGTTTTGTATACTTCAAAGTGTTGTACAGGTCAAAGGTCAATTCATCTCTCTATAAGTTCAAGATCAAATCATACAAATTTTAAATGTCTCTATTTATGAGTCTATTTTAAATCCAGCAACACTAATATATATATATTGTGTGTGCCAATTGTTCAGTCTATATGGCTACACTCTGAAACAGTAAGGATGCCAGACATGTAAACTCCATCACTGTCCTCTCTATATAATCACTACAAAACTCTAACAATGCAGTAATCTTTTTCATTTCTTTTCAGGACGAAATTAAAACCAAGTTAAGAGAACTACAAGATGTTATGAAAGAACAACAGAAAAATGTAGATGCTTTAAAAAGTACTCAAGATCAAGTGAAGGATCATTTTGATAAATTGGATGGAGACAAATATGAGTGTGACAGGTGCCCTACACAACAGGGCTACCAATGTGGAGCAAATTGTGATTGTACAAGCTGTAAAGAAAATAGACATCTAAAAGAACAACTTGAAAAGCTGAAATCAGAATCAGCAAAAAAAGATCAAGAGCACACAAAACAAAAACAAATGGATGGATCAGAAATCAAGAAATTAAAAGGCAAAGTTGAAAAAAATGAGAGAGAAATACAAAATTTACGAGATGATGTAGAGAAACAAAGAACAGAGAAGAATGAAATAAAAAGCAAAAATATTGCTCTTGAAAATGAAAAACGACGGTTGTTAGAGGAAAACTCTAAAAACAAACAACAAATTCAAAGACAGAGCGACCACATCGCCCAGATGGAGAAAGAGTTACATCAGGCAAAACAACAGAAAGGTAATATGGTAATGTCTATCTCAAATGCATTTATTTCAATCAATATCTTCTCCAGTAGATATTGATAACTTCTTTGACTCTTTGATCTAGATGATTTATAATATTCTGATTTCCTTTATGTTTCAACACCACACTCCTCACCCAGTTGATCTAGACTCTTTCCCAGTTGATCTACACCACATCAAAATCCTCACCCAGTTGATCTACACCATATAGAACTCTCACCCAGTTGATCTACACCATATAGAACTCCTCGTCCAGTTGATCTACACCATATAGAACTCTCACCCAGTTAATCTAGACCATATAGAACTCTTTCCCAGTTTATCTAGACCATATGGAACTCTTTCCCAGTTGATCTAGACCATATAGAACTCTTTCCCAGTTTATCTAGACCATATGGAACTCTCACCCAGTTGATCTACATCATATAGAACTCTCACCTAGTTGATCTAGACCATATAGAACTCTCACCCAGTTGATCTAGACCATATAGAACTCTCACCCAGTTGATCTAGACCATATAGAATTCTCACCCAGTTGATCCAGACCATATAGAACACTCATCCAATTGATCTACACCATATAGAACTCTCACCCAGTTGATCTTGACCATATCAAATACCTTGACAAGTTGATCTAGATCATGTAGAACTTCTCGCCTAGTTGTTGTAGACCTTCTACAACTCCTCTTCCAATTGATGTAGACCTTCTACAACTCCTCTCCTAGTTGATGTAGACCTTCTACAACTCCTCTCCCAGTTGATGTAGACATTCTACAACTCCTCTCCCAGTTGATGTAGACCTTCTACATCTCCTCTCCCAGTTGATGTAGACATTCTACAACTCCTCTCCCAGTTGATGTAGACATTCTACAACTCCTCTCCCAGTTGATGTAGACCTTCTACATCTCCTCTCCCAGTTGATGTAGACATTCTACAACTCCTCTCCCAGTTGATGTAGTCATTCTACATCTCCTCTCCCAGTTGATGTAGACTTTCTACAACTCCTCTCCCAATTGATGTAGTCATTCTACATCTCCTCTCCCAGTTGATGTAGACCTTCTACGACTCCTCTCAGCTCCCAGTTGATGTAGACATTCTACAACTCCTCTCCCAGTTAATGTAGACCTTCTACAACTCCTCTCCTAGTTGATGTAGACATTCTACAACTCCTCTCCCAGTTGATGTAGATTTTCTACAACTCCTCTGCCAGTTGATGTAGACCTTCTACAACTCCTCTCCCAGTTGATGTAGACATTCTACAACTCCTCTCCCAGTTGAGACCTTCTACAACTCCTCTCCCAGTTGATGTAGACCTTCTACATCTCCTCTCCCAGTTGATGTAGACATTCTACAACTCCTCTCCCAGTTGATGTAGTCATTCTACATCTCCTCTCCCAGTTGATGTAGATTTTCTACAACTCCTCTCCCAATTGATGTAGTCATTCTACATCTCCTCTCCCAGTTGATGTAGACCTTCTACGACTCCTCTCAGCTCCCAGTTGATGTAGACATTCTACAACTCCTCTCCCAGTTAATGTAGACCTTCTACAACTTCTCTCCCAGTTAATGTAGACCTTCTACAACTCCTCTCCCAGTTGATGTAGACATTCTACCACTCCTCTCCCAGTTGATGTAGACCTTCTACATCTCCTCTCCCAGTTGACGTAGACCTTCTACAACTCCTCTCCCAGTTGATGTAGACATTCTACAACTACTCTCCCAGTTGATGTAGATTTTCTACAACTCCTCTCCCAGTTGATGTAGACATTCTACAACTCCTCTCCCAGTTGATGTAGTCATTCTACAACTCCTCTCCCAGTTGATGTAGACATTCTACAACTCCTCTCCCAATTGATGTAGTCATTCTACAACTCCTCTCCCAGTTGATGTAGACATTCTACAACTCCTCTCCCAGTTGATGTAGATTTTCTACAACTCCTCTGCCAGTTGATGTAGACCTTCTACAACTCTCAGCTCCCAGTTGATGTAGACATTCTACAACTCCTCTCCCAGTTAATGTAGACCTTCTACAACTCCTCTCCCAGTTGATGTAGACCTTCTACATCTCCTCTCCCAGTTGATGTAGATTTTCTACAACTCCTCTCCCAGTTGATGTAGACTTTTTACATCTCCTCTGCCGATTGTCAATTTTGTATATTATCCATTGACTCAGAATTTGTCACCCATCGTCCAACTTTTTCCTGTAAATTACTGCTCAAAAAACCGTGGACCAAATGTTTTAATATTTGGCCAGTACATTCGAATGATGAAGCCTGAAAAACAAAGTATGTGAAAAAAATGACGTTGACCTTTATTCAAGATCACAGGATTCAAATTTGTTACAACATTTGAATCACTTCCTTGCATGAACTAAAAAGCCTTGAGGTTGATATGTGACAGAAATCTATTTCGCTTTCTAGTTCTGATAAATGAAAAATGCCAACCAGAGACTGACCAATAAACCTTGACTGCAGATCACGAGGAGAATTTACGAATTTACACTACATAAGAAATACAAATATCACCAAAAGTTATTCATTTAGATTTCAAAAATTCAAATTCTATGACGTCATAAAAAATAATTTATCTCATAATACTTACAATCTCATGTCAGACGTTTTTGACTTTTTAAGTTGGTTAAATGAATTTTTAAAAAGTCAAATATATACCAGGTGAGTACTGCAGGCCCATTGTGCCTCTTGGGTTATGCTCCAGACAAAATTATGACAGAAGACAAACGGATGGATAAATGGACAAAAGGACGGATGGACAAAGCAGCAACTATATCCTCTCCGAAGGGAGAACATAAAAACCTCTGTAGTATCATGACGTCCGAGAACTCCGGCTATTGAGTTGATGCAAGTCTGTTTCTAAGCAAAACTATTGTTTATTGTTTAGTTGGTGTGTCACTATACTGTGGGAGCCAGGCAACACTGACGGACGCTTCAGCTGAGTTATCTCACATGCTTTGTTCTCACTGGGAAGCTCTTGGGATAGAGGCCAAGGTGGATAAATGTGAGGACCCCCGGACACATCCACCCTCATCTCCCCTCATTGTCCTGTGTATGAATGCCTCCCGTCTTGGTACTGATGTCAGCAATGCCATTCACAATATTCGATGTAAGGTCAGAGGTCAAATCACATTACCTTTATAACAAGGAGGGTCATAGATCACTTAGATAAACAGGTCAGATTATAAAGCGTTGTTAATTGAAGGACATTAGCACAATAAAAGGTCATGGAAGAGGACAAACATTGACAAGGGAAATGAATGATATGTATTAAATGTAACTGTATGCAAATCTGGAGATGTTTAGATAATGAGGTAAAATTGATCTTAGTAATCATGTTTTCAATTTACGGTATTATTTTCCTTTCTTGTTGTTAATTACGACATGCGTGGATATAAGGCTCGACAATTTTTTTTTTATTTATTCAGACCAGAATTACAGAACAAGTCATTGGATCAATAACAAAAAAGCATTATGCAAGCTGTGCTTTGATTGGTTGTTTACTCTTTTATATCAGGTGACCATTCTGTAGCCGTTGTGATTCTTCACCACAAAGAAATCCATGCCCTTCCATCTCAACAGAGCGAGAAACTCCTGGTAGGAGGTCAATATCGTGATCTGGGTGCAATAGTAGACATTGCCTTCCTCAAGTCCAAGGGCATGTACCCGTGTGATATGAACGAACATGCTTTAAACAAGTTAACTACATTTATTTCTTACTTTATCAAGAAAGGTTAAATGTCAAATTTGATTCCATATACCTTCATGAAGGTCTAAGTTGAGAATCAGTATATGAAACCAGTATCAGATGTGAAAATCTAAGTTTACAAACTATAAAAGGTTGCCCTTCTTGAATATCAGCAATTAAGAAAGAAATCGTAATAACAAGACTTGGCTTATATAACAAAGCTTCTTATATAAAATTTGCTACCGTTTATTGTGTCATGATTGATCAAATAGTATTTGCTATCTGAACTGATGGTATTTTGGGGGGAAATATGCAATTTTCCCTTTAATTGTAGATTTTCTTGTTACTAAGAAGAATTATAGATAGTCTTTCATTTGTATATTTGAAATCCCCTCCCCGATTTACAAGCACCATGTAAAACGCGAAATAGTCTTTATGATACATTAAAAGAGAAAAATATTAAAAGGAAAGAAATGAAAATATGACATCTTTCCTCACAAAATATTTGTTTTATCCCTTGTTTTGGTATAGAAAAAAGCTTTGTTTCAATGTCTAAGCACTATTACTGTATAACAGCAGTATTGATGATACAAAGTTTGTTCAGCTTCAAATAAAACCCGGTGCTTGTCAGAACTCGCGATTTACCACAGGGAGACATGTCGGTATCAACAGGGTTTAGAGATGATGAACCATTAACTATATGTTACAATTACACTTAAGTTGCCTATTTAAATCTTTGTTGATTCATGTTGCATTTAAGAAGTACACCTTTTATCTATAACAAGGTTCTGACGTCACTAAGAAACCTTTGACACAACATCTTTGAGAAACTTCTCTGTTAAATCAACACAGAAGAAAAAACAAGGATATATATTCATGAATAATAAATCATATTTAAGGAGATGAAGTCTTAGATATCTGTATGTTTATTTGATGCCGATTTTAACCTACGTCATTCTGTGTACTGTTGTCAAATTTATATACACAATGAGTGCAATCTGACAACCAGTCAGTGACAACAATGCTGTGGATACCAATGATTTTCGCTGAGGTTTTTTTTTTAATGTTAATTTTTTGTATAACTATGTAAAATGTACCAGACCGCCTAATTGGCAGGGCTCTAGTTATTAAGATGAGTTGAAGGGGCGAAAAAGTCATGCTCAAAGTTACAAGGCTATACACCATGCACATATTTGATACTGACTTATATCTATATGTATCTGTATATATGATATGGTATCATTGATATAAGTTAAAACAAAATTGTAGTACGTGCAAAAAGCTTTACAGATAGAACATGTTCAATTTTATTTTAGAAAATTATTGAAGTGAAAGGTTGTAGATGTTACAAAAAATGCAAACTTTAACAATCGGGAATGAAAGAACAATGTAACAACCAGGAGTTTGAATGACTTGTTTCTACCACAATGGAGAAGCTATTCTGAAGTTGAATTGACATGATTTGTATCCATTTTTTTTTACGTCATCATTGATTACTTTTTTTAAATGCTGCTAATTACATTATCTAATAAACAAAACTCACAATTTCAGAATCACTTATTAAAGAAGAAAAAACCTAAATATAAAATAAAAGCGATATTACAAGAACAGTTGTGAGTCACTGATTGCACGTAATAATTTCCATGATGGAAGTAAGCGACCTTTCGGTCAAAGTTCATCCTGTCATCCAATCAAAACATTCTAAAGTGTTATACCACATGTGGTACACTTATGGTACAACATGTTTATACAACATATAGAATAATCGATTGTTATAATTGGAGTTGGTTAACACACACTAATCGTGATAGAAAAACGATTACAGCTGGCTTCATCAGTAAGGGAACAATGCTGCTCTTACTGATATTTGGTTATATCGTTATACTGTGAAATTATAAATATCTGTAGGGATTCATTTTCTTTGATTTCACTGGTACTATCAATCAGTGAGTCCACAAACTGTTAAAATAATACAAACATCTATTTATCCACGAAATTAATTGTCAACATGTTTTTTTTTAATCCCACGAAACTATTTGATTTTACATGAGTATCGCTCTGCACTAATTGCTATTACCATTGTTAAAACACAAATTTTTAGCTAAACATATCATTTCTAAAAACCTGATTGGGAAATTCTCTTGTTATTATTTTTTATGAGACTAACAAATTAAAGATTCAACAATATGATAAGACTATCTTCATTCTATGTACATTATCCACGATTGTATATGTATTATATACCAATAGGCCATTAGCCTAAAGTTAAAATAAACCTTGACATTTTTGTCTTTGTCTTTGGTCTTACATCAGTATCTGTCTCTTTAATAAGCTTGATTTACTTAGGTCTTTTCTGTCGAAGTTTAAGGACAGTAAATTTAAAATTAGTGTAATATAAATATAAAGCATCTTCCTACAAGCAGGTTACAAGAAAAATAATCTTGCTGATCTTAATTAGTGTCAGTGATGTATGCAAAATTGTCATTTAGTTTGATGTAGCGTTGTTCAAGACAAATACTGTATCAACATAGTAGTGAGGATATCATTGTACCAGATGTGATATACACAGTATTAGTAGCACAGGACACTATTGTACCGGATGTGACATACACAGTATTAGTACAGGACAGAAATCACTGTTGTACCGGATGTGACATACACAGTATTAGTACAAGACAGAGGTTATTGTTGTACCGGATGTGACAAAGACAGTATTAGTACAGGTCAGAGGTCACTGTTGTACCGGATGTGACATACACAGTATTAGTACAAGACAGAGGTTACTGTTGTACCGGATGTGACAAAGACAGTATTAGTACAGGACAGAGGTCACTGTTGTACCGGATGTGACATACACGGTATTAGTACAGGACAGAGGTCACTGTTGTACCGGATGTGACATACACGGTATTAGTACAGGACAGAGGTCACTATTGTACCGGATGTGACATACACAGTATAAGTACAGGACAGAGGTCACTATTGTACCGGATGTGACATACACAGTATTAGTACAGGACAGAGGTCACTATTGTACCGGATGTGACATACACAGCATTAGTACAGGACAGGGGACACTATTGTACCGGATGTGACATAAACAGTACTTGTACAGGACAGAGGACATTACTGTACCGGATGTGACACACACAGTATTAGTACAGGACAGAAGTCACTCTTGGACCGGATGTGACAAAGACAGTATTAGTACAGGACACTATTGTACCGGATGTGACATACACAGTATTAGTACAGGACAAAGGTCACTGTTGTACCGGATGTGACATACACAGTATTAGTACAGGACAGAGGTCACTATTGTACCGGATGTGACATACACAGTATTAGTAAAGGACAGAAGTCACTGTTGTACCGGATGTGACATACACAGTATTAGTACAGAACAGAGGACACTCTTGTACCGCATGTGACAAACACGGTATTAATACAGGACAGAAGTCACTATTATATTGGATATGAAAAACACGGTATTAGTTCAGGACAGAGTTCACTTTTGTACCGCAGGTGACATACACAGTATTAGTACAGGACAGAGGTTACTGTTGTGCCGCATGTGACATACACAGTACTAGTACAGAACAGAGGTTACTGTTGTACCTGATGTGACATGCACAGTATTAGTACAGGACAGAGGTTACTGTTGTACCGGACGTGACATACACAGTATTGGTACAGGACGGAGGTCACTATTGTACCTGATGTGACATACACAGTACTAGTACAGAACAGAGGTTACTGTTGTACCTGATGTGACATGCACAGTATTAGTACAGGACAGAGGTTACTGTTGTACCGGACGTGACATACACAGTATCAGTACAGGACAGAGGACACTATTGTACCGGATGTGACATACACAGTACTAGTACAGGACAGAGGTTACTGTTGTACTGGATGTGACATACACAGTACTAGTACAGAACAAAGGACACTATTGTACCCGATGGACACAGTATCAGTACAGGACAGAGGACACTATTGTACCGAATGTGACATACACAGTTTCAGTACAGGACAGAAGTTACTGTTGTACCGGATGTGATATACACAGTATTAGTACAGGACAGAGGTCACTATTGTACCGGATGTGACAAAGACAGTATTAGTACAGGACAGAGGTCACTGTTGTACCGGTTGTGACATACACAGTATTAGTACAAGACAGAGGTTACTGTTGTACCGGATGTGACAAAGACAGTATTAGTACAGGACAGAGGTCACTGTTGTACCGGATGTGACATACACAGTATTTACAGTATTGTACCGAATGTGACATACACAGTTCAAGTACAGGACAGAAGTTACTGTTGTACCGGATGTGATATACACAGTATTAGTACAGGACAGAGGTCACTATTGTACCGGATGTGACATACACAGTTCAAGTACAGGACAGAAGTTACTGTTGTACCGGATGTGATATACACAGTATTAGTACAGGACAGAGGTCACTATTGTACCGGATGTGACATACACAGTATTAGTACAGGACAGAGGACACTATTGTACCGAATGTGACATACACAGTTCAAGTACAGGACAGAAGTTACTGTTGTACCGGATGTGATATACACAGTATTAGTACAGGACAGAGGTCACTATTGTACCGGATGTGACAAAGACAGTATTAGTACAGGACAGAGGTCACTGTTCTACCGGATGTGACATACACAGTATTAGTACAAGACAGAGGTTACTGTTGTACCGGATGTGACAAAGACAGTATTAGTACAGGACAGAGGTCACTGTTGTACCGGATGTGACATACACAGTATTAGTACAAGACAGAGGGTACTGTTGTACCGGATGTGACAAAGACAGTATTAGTACAGGACAGAGGTCACTGTTGTACCGGATGTGACATACACAGTATTAGTACAGGACAGAGGACATTATTGTACCGGATGTGACAAAGACAGTATTAGTACAGGACAATATTGTACCGGATGTGACATACACAGTATTAGTACAGGACAAAGGTCACTGTTGTACCGGATGTGACATACACAGTATTAGTACAGGACAGAGGTCACTATTGTACCGGATGTGACATACACAGTATTAGTAAAGGACAGAAGTCACTGTTGTACCGGATGTGACATACACAGTATTAGTACAGAACAGAGGACACTCTTGTACCGCATGTGACAAACACGGTATTAATACAGGACAGAAGTCACTATTATATTGGATATGAAAAACATGGTATTAGTTCAGGACAGAGTTCACTTTTGTACCGCAGGTGACACACACAGTATTAGTACAG